TTGTAAATTTGTAAACGTATATTTAATTTTGTCCCATTCCAGTTTCGTATATTTTTTTATATTTGCTTTTTAATTTTATTGTTTTTTAAATCATTGACCTAATTGTTGCTTATCGACCAGTCCTCCCCTGATGATTCACAATGTCAGTTGGAGGGGGGAGGGGGTAAGAATGTTAAAACAATTTATATTTAAGTTATTTCATTCCCTTTGATGTCCCCTTGGCAGATGAGAAACTGAACAATTGAATGCACCAGCTTTTGTGAACAAATAACATTTTCCCTCACTGTATGGGAATAAATGTGATATTTTACATTGGGATTCAGAAATAAAGATTTTTTTGAGACAAAATATTATGATTTTTGATTCTTTCAATTAACTCAAAGCTCCCCACTTGTATAAAGAGTATCAAGTAGCCTACAAATATTGTCCAGCACATAATTTGCCGGCCCATCCTCTGGATATCTGTATTGGGCTGACAATGGAGGCCCAGAGCCAAGTGCAGATGGCCCAGCCCAGGATAGGGAGCAGATGTCCAGGGAGACAGACTCCAGTATGCTGGGGTCCAGCTGTCAGCCAAGCTGGGTGCTGGAACTCAATGTGGACGGAGCAACACATTAGACAATTGCTGAATTCTCAATTGACCCCTAGCCCCTATCCTCTAAAAAGTCCTATAGATCTGAAGGACATTTTGCATTACATTTGAGATGTTATTTCTTCAGCTAGTTCCTCAAGGAAACTGTTTCAGCAAAGCCATATGGCATGCATAGTGCGCCATCGTCTGGCTCAAAAGGCTATGCAGTCTATCATTGTAAGTCCCGTGTAGCTCAGTTGGTAGAGCATGGCGCTTGCAACGCTAGGGTTGTGGGTTCGTTTCCCACGGGGGACCAGTATGAAAAAATGTATGCACTCACTGTAACTGTAAGTCGCTCTGGATAAGAGCGTCTGCTAAATTACTAAAATGTAAATGTATTTAGTCAATGGTGAAGGTTGCACTCACTATATGCAGTTATTCCTGATAAACATAGGCCTATATTGGATAAAGCTAAATTATACAATGATCACAACATCAAAAAAGCACACATGAAAGGTTACACATTAGACTGTTGGCACAGGAAGCCAAATGAAGCATCTAAAATCATACATGACATCAGTTTTACGGGAGATTGAAATCATCATTCATAACTCACCATGAACAGAAATTACACCAACTAGAAAATGACATTTACTGATGTAAATGTGGTGTGCTTGCTAGTCTTTAAGTACTTATGGTTGTAAAAGGGTTTTCATAGGCTATGTGTTATAGTGACCTATTTTGGGGTGGTTTGTAGGTGTGGAGTTATTATAGTGGGCTAGTATAGTAAGCAAGAGTGAGTACTATATCATCATACACCATATGTGTTTTTAAGCTCTCAAAATGTTTGGTTGAACTTCCTCAAAGTTCTTCTGTAGTGATTTCAGTTTAGAATGTTGAAGCCTGCATTCTGCTATTACAATTAAAGGGGATACAGCAAGTTTTATAGATTATGAAGTAGGAGAAGTTGAGTCAGTCTGCACATGTCAATGTGTTTGTAGCTGAAATGGATCAAGAGCAGTGGTAAATCCAAATTTGGCCTTTAAAGTCCATGGAGCTTTTATGCAAATGTAAAACGGTTATAGTTCAAAAAGTACAAATAGCATCAGCAATCCTTTGGCAAGCAATCTAAGTTGAGTCAGTCTGTACATTGGTTTGATGTTTGTAGCTTTAACGTTTCAAGTGGTGAATTCAAATACTTCTCATTCAAGCCTATGGAGCTTTTATGCAGATTTAAAACAATTCTAGTTCAAAAAGTATAAATGGTAAAGCTGTATACAAGCACACTATTCCAGACTGGTCTGCACGTTTTAGATTTTGAATGGCATTTCTAGCTTAAACGGAATGGCATTTTCTAGCTTACTCCCTGAAATGCATTGGGATTTATGCAAATATGGTTGTAGTGTGAAAACGTAAAAAAAGTAATATCATCAAAACGTTTTTTTTTTTTTCAAGCAACCTGACCAGTGGCAGTCTGCAGGCAGTAATGTTGTTTGGATGTTGGTAGTTCTTACGGTTTTGGCTCTAGAGGTTCCAGCGGAATAATAATAAGTATGAACAGTTTCTAAAATTATGATTTGCTTTCAGCAACCACAATTAATAGCCTACTGTAGGCTACTACATAAATAAGTGCGCATGGATTTACAGGCCATCCAAAAGCGCGTGGTAAAGACATGTAGCCTAGTTTAACCTGATCAGTCTGGATGGGATGAGAAGGCATAGTCTATTGGCCTACGTGCAGGAAATATCCGTAATAATAACATGTGCAACATTTAAAATCATATCGGCATCTCCAAATTTGCTGTTAGCCTACACTACAATATTAATGTATTATAAAGAAAACAAAAATACGTGACTTCATCACATAAAGGTGACCAATGTCCCTCAATGAATTATTTTTTAAATTATATTTTCAATATCCAATGCTATTTTCACAGGAATCCTCAACAAATATTCGTTGGACATCGCTTGATAATATTTATTTGGGATAGACATAGCTATATTCCTGCATTTGGTCTACATTACAGCAGGTGCACCACCTGAAAAAGCAGCGTTTGATATTCGCCTCTGGTGGTGTTGCGTCAACAACTTACCGAGTGCTTGGAGGCGGCGCTGGTCCACGGTCGGCGACTCTCGGTCACAGACAGAAATGCCATAACAGCAGCATCGATATCCCCACCCGAAGCGCATGTTATTCACCTGGACCCACGTAACGACAACGATTTGAAGCCACATTTGACCACAGACTGTCAAAGGATTGCGTCAAGGCTGTTGCTGTCTATTTGGTGGTGACATCGTTTGTTGCTTTCTGGTGGGGAGCAGCATCTGGAAAATTGTAGGTAGGTCGCATGACTGGGCGAGGATTTCTATAGTAGAAAATGACGTTGGTTTATGATGCCAGTAGCCTAGGCCTATCTTGTTTGGTGTGGTCGGCGCCTATATATTTGGGGTTAAAAGGAGAAAGATCTAGCTCGTCCGTGCTTCAATGAATGGGCCAGCAGCCTGCTACAGCCTGTAGTATTGGCTCTAAACACGCATTTTTAATGTTACATTGTATCCAAGCATTCTGTCCATGGCATTTCCGACAGTGGCGCCCTATAGAGGATGCTAAAAAGGATGTTTCAATTGTATCAATACATTGTATCGTAGTAGCCTATGTGATATAGCAATAGGGCATATAAGGCAGACATATCATCATCATTATCATCCAGTCGTCTCGGCTTATCCCTGATGCCTAATAGCTGCGCTATCTGATCGGGTTATTTCTCAATTTTCACTGTCATTCGTATTGGAGAAACGGGTCGCCTCAAGGACACATTTAGGCTGAGCTTGAATGTAACGTGGACGGTGATTCAATTAGCCTGTATGTTTCAAATAGGGCCTACAGACAAAAGTATTGAATCACGTGCACCATATAGGCTATTGACACTGGCCTGTAATGGAATGTGGAAATTGATGGGATTCCTATTCTCAGTATGAATAATGAATAAAATGGGTTTATGAATAATTAAGTATGAATATGAAATATAATATATTTACAAATATTTTTAATTGTTTCGATTTGAGATATGCCTAACATGTGCTTTTTCTAGTCAGTAGGATAAGGCTTATAACATACTAAAAATAGCTTACTTATCACCATATATGCCTACATTGTTATTTAGTATATATACAGTATATATGGTTTTGGGTGTCTTTAGGGCCTACTTAGCAGCAATATCACTTCCTCTGCTGTTCAGTGTAACCTAGAGCTATTGTAGTGAGTACTCTAGTGAGGGACACACTATTGTGCATGTGAAACCATTATGAAATGTGATATTGCACAAAACTGTGGTCTTAAGAAATAAACTCACAGTGCTGGAGGGATAAGACAGAGAAAAAACTATGAAATCTACTTTATAGCTACAATAAAGACCTATATGTCATCTCCATCTCCTTCTCTCCATTTATTTTTAATGTGAGCATCATTTTTTTTGTTTTGGTGTCAGAGCAACACCACATTTGTTCATTGCCGGACGTAGGCTCTCGTTAAGCTTACAAGGCATCTGATGCTGTTTGCTGCTACCAAAGCCCCCTATATGCCACAGTGATATGGCTGTGTGGTATTGCTATATCCTGCTAGCAGTATCCCCCTGTGGTTAACACCCCTGATCTAACACACCTGATTCAGCTAATCAAGGTCCTGATGAGCAGCTGATGAGTAGAATCAGGTGTGTTAGAACAGGGCTGGATCAAAAGCCTGAACATCCAGTTCTCCACATGTAGCATCTTGGCCCCTCTCAGTTTCACATCCCTTGGCACAAGTACCAAAGCGCCCTGTGTCATAGCAGAGCTGACTTCTACCCAGGGGGCAGTGGGCTTACCTTCACCACAGCCCTAGCTACAGTACCGTTTCCTGTTAGTGACATTGAACCAGTGCAAAGGGCACACAGATAGTAGTTACTGATCATGCTCACTGAATTATTCATTATGGTGTCATTTAAAAATAGGCTTACAGTCTTGTTTCCACCCAAGCATGTCTGCCATTGATTTTTCAATGATACCAATACCACCACCCTTTCTCATGTCATTTCATGTGAATCAGCATCCTGCACAACATGTTGGGAACGTTTCGTGAGCCAGTGAAGTAAAATAACAGGTCAATCAATTGAAATCAGCAATTGATTGTTTGTTGGTTGAGTGGATGAAGTGCTCTGAAATGCTCTAGCCATCATTGAACTGTATTTGCTGATGTAGCGGTATCTACAAGGCTTGGCAGTGTGCAGCACTGTGTGTGTTACAACCAAAACAATGGAACAATAAATGTAAACAAACAATATGTGCCACAAAATGTTTATGTAATGGAGAGATCAGTCCAATGTATGCCTTTTATGATGGCAAAAAGTTGAAACATATTTTAATGGACAATTGGTCAGTATGACCGATGGTTATGGCCACCTCCCTGAATGTATACCATACTGTACATTGTATGTGTCCCCTGTGTGTCCCAGGATGCAAAGGGCTTTCCTAGGGGGGCTGTGAAGATGAGCGTGACATCATGGTTCCTAGTCAGCAGCTCTGGCACCCGCCACCGCCTCCCAAGGGAGATGATCTTCGTGGGCCGGGAGGACTGTGAACTCATGCTGCAGGTAGGTGATGTGACCCTGGCCCCAACCTGAAGACCTCCTTAAACGCTTGATGTTTATGTTACTCTCTAATCAAATGCATAACTTTATCCTCCGGCACAGATAACTAGAGAGAGCATTGTCTGCTGGTGTTGTATACTCTGTAGTCCTTTCCTTCATGAGGAAGAGGAGAGCTCTGTTTGTAAAACATGGTGACTACTAAGACCATTCAGAGATGATGTCTGTGGCTGAAGTAGAGCACGGCAGTAGATAAAGCTTCTAGTAGTTGTGCCCATCGGACAGTGAGTAGTCCACCCAGTCAGACAACCCTCTTCAGCCCTCCTCAGCCACTGTCTCTTTCCTCTGTGTAGCATGAAAGACAACAAATTGCTCAAAAGTCAGAAGATGTCTTTAGCTATCCTCCCTCAGAATGCATGCTCAGTTATTATCCCATCATGTCAAAGTTTGCTGTCTGGAGGAAAAACAATATTTGACTTGTGCGTGTGTTTGTACAGTGCAGTAGCATAGACCAGTGTTTCTTTATCCATTTCATTTTCAGCCTATGTTTTATCATAATTATTTATGAAAAGATCTGTCAGCAGTATTTTGTGGAGGGGGCACACTGATGTTAAATTCTCCAAATTCACCAACCATCCTCACATACAGTGCCTTCAGAAAGTATTCATACCCCTTGATTTATTCAACATTTTGTTTTGTTACAGCCTGAATTCAAAATGGTTTACATTTATTTTTTCTCACCCATCTACACACAATATCCCATAATGACAAAGTGAAAACATGTTTTTAGAAATTTTAGCAAATGTATTGAAAATGAAATACAGAAATATCTCATTTACATACACTACCGGTCAAAAGTTTTAGAACACCTACTCATTCAAGGTTTTTCTTTATTTTTACTATTTTGTACATTGTAGAATAATAGTGAATATATATCAAAACTATGAGATAACAAATATGGAATCATGTATTAACCAAAAAAGTGTTACACAAATCAAAATATATTTTATATATTTGAGATTCTTCAAATAGCCACCCTTTACCTTGATGACACTTTACCTTTGCACACTCTTGGCATTCTCTCAACCAGCTTCATGAGGTAGTCACCAGGAATGCATTTCAATTAACAGGTGTGCCTTCTTAAAAGTTAATTTGTGGAATTTCTTTCCTTAATGCGTTTGAGCCAATCAGTTGTGTTGTGACAAGGTAGGGGGGTATACAGAAGATAGCCCTATTTGGAAAAAGACCAAGTCCATATTATGGCAAGAACAGCTCAAATAAGCAGAGAGAAACGACAGTCCAACATTACTTTAAGACGTGAAGGTCAGTCAATACGGAACATTTCAAGAACTTTGAAAGTTTCTTCAAGCGCAGTCGCAAAAACCATCAAGCGCTATGATGAAACTGGCTCTCATGAGGACCGCCACAGGAATGGAAGACCTAGAGTTACCTCTGCTGCAGAGGATAAGTTCATTAGAGTTACCAGCCTCAGAAATTGCAGCCCAAATAAATGCTTCACAGAGTTCAATTAACAGACACATCTCAACATCAACTGTTCAGAGGAGACTGTGTGAATCAGGCCTTCATGGTCAAATTGCTGCAAAGAAACCACTACTAAAGGACACCAATAAGAAGAAGAGACTTGCTTGGGCCAAGAAACACGAGCAATGGACATTAGACAGGTGGAAATTTGTCCTTTGGTCTGGAGTCCAAATTTGAGATTTTTGGTTCCAACAGCCGTGTCTTTGTGAGACGCGGTTTAGGTGAACGGATGATCTCCGCATGTGTATTTCCCACCGTAAAGCATGGAGGAGGAGGTGTGATGATGTGGGGGTGCTTTGCTGGTGACACTGTCTGTGATTTATTTAGAATTCAAGGCACACTTAACCAGCATGGCTACCACAGCATTCTGCAGCGATACGCCATCCCATCTGGTTTGGGCTTAGTGGGACTATCATTTGTTTTTCAATAGGACAATGACCCAACACACCTCCAGGCTGTGTAACGGTTATTTTACCAAGAAGGAGAGTGATGGAGTGCTGCATCAGATGACCTGGCCTCCACAATCCCCCAACCTCAACCAAATTGAGATGGTTTGGGATGAGTCGAACCACAGAGTGAAGGAAAAGCAGTCAACAAGTGCTCAGCATATGTGGGAACTCCTTCAAGACTGTTGGAAAAGCATGCCAGGTGAAGCTGGTTGAGAGAATGCCAAGAGTGTGCAAAGCTGTCATCAAGGCAAAGGGTGGCTATTTGAAGAATCTCAAATATAAAATATAGTTTGATTTGTTTAACACTTTTTTGGTTACTACATGATTACATCTGTGTTATTTCATAGTTTTGATGTCTTCACTATTATTCTACAATGTGGAAAATAGTAAAAATAAAGAAAAACCCTTGAATGAGTAGGTGTTCTAAAACTTTTGACCGGTAGTGTACATATTTTCACCCCTGAGTCAATACTTTGTAGAAACAACTTTGGCAGCGATTACAGCTGTGAGTCTTTCTGGGTAAGTTTCTAAGAGCTTTCCACACCTGGATTGTGCAACATTTGCCCATTATTATTTTCAAAATTCTTCAAGTTCTGTCAAATTGGTTGTTGATCATTGCTAGACAACAATTTTTAGGTCTTGCCATAGTTTGTCAAGTAGATTTAAGTCAAAACTGTAACTCGGCCACTCAGGAACATTCACTGTATTCTTCTTAAGAATTTCCAGTGTAGATTTGGCCTTGTGTTTTAGGTTATTGTCCTGCTGAAAGGTAAATTAACCTCCCAGTGATGATTCCTCTAGGATTTTGCCTGTGCTTAGCTCCATTCCATTTCTTTTTTATCCTGAAAATCTCCCCAGTCCTTAACGATTACAAGCATACCCGTAACATGATGCAGCCACCACTATGCTTGAAAATAGGAAGAGTGGTACTCAGTAATGTGTTGTATTGGATTTCCCCCAAACATAACACTTTGTATTCAGGACAAAAAGCTAATTTATTTGCCACATTTGTTTCTGTATTACTTTAGATGCATGTTTTGGAATATTTGTATTCTGTACAGGCTTCCTTCTTTTCACTCTGTCAATTAGGTTGGTATTGTGGAGTAACTACAATGATAGTTTTCTCCTATCACAGCCATTAAACTCTGTAACTGTTTTAAAGTCACCATTGGCCTCATGGTGAAATCCCTTGAGTGGTTTCCTTCCTCTCCGGCAACTGAGTTAGGATGGACGCCTGTATCTTTGTAGTGACTGGGTTTATTGATACAGCATCCAAAGTGTAGTTAATAACTTCACCATGCTCAAATGTCTGCTTTTTTATTTTTTTAATCTACCAATAGGTGCCCTTCTTTGCGAGGCATTGGAAAACCTCCCTGGTCTTTCTGGTTGAATCTGTGTTTGAAATGTACTGCTCGACTGAGGGACCTTACAGATAATTGTATGTGTGGGTCCATGCAACTTATTATGTGACTTGTTAAAGCTGCAAAATGCAGAAATCGCTCTGCCATTTCCTGGTTGCTAAAATTCGAATAGTTTGCCTAATTTCAGTTTAAGTGACAAAATAACCAATAGAGAATAGAGTGTAGAGAATCATTGTACCATCTAAACCGCTGTGAAATATCCTTTCAATAATCTAAAATATTTTATTTTCAGCTGTTTGAAGCTGGTGTACAAAACCGAAAGCAAAAGAGCAAAAACAAAACGTAAGAATGGGAAGCATAGAAATAGCACATATAGAACAGATCTACCGCTTCTTAGACTTGCTTTCGATGAGAACGACAGATTTCTATGTGAATTTGGTCGGTTCGCCCAAAAAGTTACATATTGCAGCTTTACGCAAATTGTTACTAATTGTAAAAAAAATTGCCATAACAAAGGGGTTGCATACCTATTGACTCAAGACATTTCAGCTTTTCATTTTAATAAATTAAAAAACATAATTCCACTTTGACTTTATGGGGTATTGTGTGTAGGCCAGTGATAAAACAAAATCTCTATTTAATCCATTTTAAATTCAGGCTGTAACACAACAAAATGTTGAAAAAGTCAAGGGGTGTGAATACTTTCTGAAGGCACTGTACTTCGTGCCTCCTCTAAAATAATTGGTGCATGACGCCCCCTGGGCTGACTGTTTGTGGTATGGTAAAATATGTTTTTAGAACAATCTGATTGGCTACCATACAGTAGGAAGGGGCAGCATGAAGGGGAAATGGACATCAAGCATCACAGAAATCAGGAAGCAGACGCCTCTCAACAAAGGACTCTTATGTTGGGATGTTTAATGAGATGGTGTACTGTATGTCGAAATTGGTTGTTGTCCGGTTAGGGCTAGCGCTCTGTCTGTCGGCTGGAGATCACTACCTTATTGATATGTGGGTGGAACAGCAACAATGTGATTTACATACAGCTATTTATAGCCACATTGATGTCCCATTTCACTGCATAGCTCAGACAACTGTACTGTTAAAGAGACAACTGGACTTTGAAATAGATGCTTTTCTCGTTGGCTTTTCTATTATTTGTGTCAGGCTTTTGTCAGTCAAAGCCTCAGCCCTGGATATTCCAAAATTCAACCCCTAGATTTCGATACAAAAGATACACTTTGATTTGCTACTAGAGGAAGACACCTTCAGAAAGATTAACCAGTCGTCCAGTTGTCAACAAAAGTATTGAACCAGAACTGTAGTGAAAAAGAGGCCATTAAAGCACAGTATATATAGTCCCTGGCAGTTGCTGTGGCACCAGTTTGGAGATCCTGACGATGCAGAGCTGTCAGCCCTGCAGCTTCCTCTGATCTGGCCAGCCGTTACCTATAGCAACAGCTGAGGTGGACTTTTTCCTCACCCGGCGAATGGCGGGCCTGTTGCTATCCCAGAACAACATTGTGTTATAGGACTAATGCTTCCTCACCTGCTCTTTGTATCTAAACCCAGTTTGTATTGTGAAAAAGTGTTGCCATCCATGTCTTTCTCCATACCTGCACTTAAAGTCTCCTGATCCTCCTGGACCCCTATGTAGGTGAGAAAGGCCTTCTCTTCCCCATGTTGTGTGTAATTTACACCCCCTCAGTATTGTTGGCCACAGATAACAGGCCTTTGTCCTACCTACCGAGCCACAGCAGTGTCTGTGACTCTGAGGCCAGCACTATTCATCACCCCCCTTTTTGTTTAGAGGTGAAAGCTACCTCATACATCTGGCAACAATAATGGTATTGTGTAGCTCAAAACACTGTTTTGAATATATGACACACTGGTGCAGCTACACCATTTTATTTAACTGGATTATTTGTCATAATTTAGATACAATGTGTGTACCAAGGTACTGTTTTAAGAGACTACTATTGTGGCCCCTAGCCATTTTAGTGCCATTACTGCCATATAGTATTTAGTTCAGTCTTATGGGGCCCCCATCTGAGGTGGGTCATGACTACCATCCTTTGTCTATTGTATCAGGCTTCAGTGTCACTAAGTATTTTATCACTATGTGTTTAACAGCAACTAGCCCAGCAACTTGGCTAGGCAGAATGCTTCAGGTCACTGTCTGAAGCACTCTGGATACTTGTCTGGATGATGACTCCTGTCATGAGGTGGTTGAGTTTGTCTCTCTGACCCATTTCACTTCCTGGATGAGACTCCATTGGAGCATTTCCATTTTCCTTCCACTGTCTAGGCTTATCACCTATCATAGTAGGGATATCTTTTTCAACTGACATGGCCCACTGTTTAGTATTGTACTCATGAACATGGTTTGTGGGTGGGAAATGTATTGAGAAACACTGCTCTTTATGAGTGACCATCAAGACGAAACTTTCCATTGCATTAGTGCACACTGCACAGCCAGGCACCTCCTAGGGTCTGACCTTTGTTGTTCACATTCAGTTGGCGTGTGAGTCTGTATAATGGAGGGATGGAGGGAGGGATGAATAAAGACATGAATGTCAACAGCAAGTCCTGTGATGAGAGAGACCGTTGTATGGCTGGCCCTGTTTGAAGTGTCATGCTGGAGTAGGTAAATAGGAGAGAGAGAGATCAGTCGCTGGTAATCACCGGTTTTCATAATGAGGACATTCAAGGCATTTGTATTAGGCACAATAGTTAGTAGGAGGATGTGAATGTAGAGTATATTTTGCTCATCATTCATACAATTCACCAAATACCATGAGATACCATTCATTATCGAAATCAAATCAACGTTTATTTGTTGCGTACACAGATGAGCAGATGTTAAAGCAGGTGCAGCGAAATGCTTATGCGTCTAACAGTACAATACTGATACCCAAAAATATATATACCCAAAAATATATTAAGAAATATCAGAACGAGCAATATCGAAACGAGCAATGTCTAGTGAGTCATCCTCCGGTTCACTTGCCTCTATAGAGGCCTGTTGGCATGTATCTCTCAGATTATTGAGACAAAGACACAGAACATGACAAGGCTTTTAGATAGTACGGTATAATTGAATTATTTATCTTTAAATGGGGATATGGTTGTGAGAGTACTCTAACTCTGCGTAGTCAAGTCCCACAAACAAAATAAAACACGTGTGGTGAAATGGATGGCACGTGGCTTAGTTTGATGAGGCGTGTTATGGTGAACTGTATTGAACATAGCTAGTATTGAATGAAGTCTTTCCCACACGTGTAGTTGAGCTACATAGCTTCTTGGGCCAAGTTTGCGCTTGGTTCTGTTCCATTGGTTCCAATAGGGACTAAATCAAGTGCAGAATAAGTATTGTACAGATGCACCTGTACCCATAAACTTCCTAGCATGAGGGTATAGAGGATCATACAAAGTATTGACATGTTGCTTACTTCATATGAGTAATGGAGATATTGCTGAGTATTAAAAATAGTCTTGCAAATTGTATCACTGCAGAATGTAAATGTGAGGAATTCCAGTCACTATATATGTAATAATGGTACTTATTCATGTAGTATTACATTATTTGAAAATAGATTATAATTGTAGGGCACAGGTGAAGTAAACCTGCTCTTTAAGTAACCATCCATGGTTCTCTCTTTTCTCTTATAGTCTCGAAGTGTGGACAAGCAGCATGCTGTCATCAACTACAACCCTGCTACAGATGAGCACCTGGTCAAAGACCTGGGCAGCCTCAATGGAGTGAGTACCCACGGGAGGGAGGGGCAGGGAAAAGTTTAAATAGAAAGTTAAACTTCCTTTGGTACAAGGACTCCCCTCTCTTACTATACACAAAGACAGAATTAGATCAAAAAGGCGCTAGATATTTCAGTATTCTATTAAGTAGTTCGAAGCCTGGCATAGTAGATAACCAGCTTAAGCAAGCGCTTAATGGCACTTATCTATTTTACATATGTAAGTTAATGCTAGCTAAAAGAAGCAGGGAATTAGTGTATTATGAATGGTTAAGCTCTGTCCTATGAAGAGATTTTCTGTTTTTCTATCTGCTGAAATGTAGGCTACTGTGCAGTGACAATGTAAATGCTGTGTCTTTACTTGTTATGATTACATACATACAACATGACAACTGCGGTCTAAAAGTGCTGCTGACGCCATTTTACTGAATAGTCAAGCAAATATTTTCCTTTTAAATGGGAAAGCCTCCAGATAGTGCGTGAAATGGGACATCTTTGGTTCGGAGCGGGAGGCTAGCTGTTAAATATTTCAGAGTGCCGTTTGTTTTGCTGCCGGTGCAGACTTCCCTCCGTAGTAGGCGGGCAACATGGAAACATTCCAAGTAGCTTTCACTGGACTGGATCAATCATGTCAAACTAGCCCTGCGCTACCGTTAGGCTAAGGGCCTGTATTTAATTGTCTGTAACTACCTGGGGCGGCAGGTAGCCTAGTGGTTAAGAGTGTTGGGCCCGTAACCGAAAGGTTGCTGGTTTGAATACCTAAGCCAACAACGTGAAAAATCTGTTGATGTGCCCTTGAGCAAGGCACTTACCCTGAATTTGCTCCAGGGGTGCTGTACCACTATGACTGACTCTGTAAAACAACTTATTTCACTGCACCTATCCGGTATATGACAATACAAAATATGTATACTTTTTTAGTTAAGGGCCTGTAACTTGTGCATCGTTACATCTCCAGTTGTTTTCTCTTTCTATGTGGTACAGTGGGCTTTGCCACTAGGTTTCCCTGGCCTTAACCATACAGTTACTCTTCTGTACTGGACTGAAATACCACTGACATTCTTTCTCTTGTGTTGAGTGTTGAAGGTGGATGACTGGTGCACAGTGTCTATCCCAGTACCTCATGGAGACTGTTACTTGTCTTCATTCAATATCTCCAGTTTACAGTAACCAACTATGTTGTGTTCCCCTCTAGACCTTTGTGAATGACCTGAGGATCCCAGACCAGACCTACATCACCCTCAAACTGTCTGATGTCATTCGCTTCGGATATGATATCCTTTTTCTCACTCATGTCATACATGCATAATTCTTGTGTCATGTATGCATAATAACCTATATAAATATGTGATGTGATTGGCTATTGCCTTAACCTAGTATTTACATTCCCATGTGTACATCCTAGAAAGGAGCCAACACAAAGTCCCAGAGGAGGCACTCAAGGTCAGCTTTCTATGCTAATGCTAACATCAACTATATTAAACACTAAACCCTAATCTGGACTAGCTTTTCAGACAGTTCTAGTCTACCATCAATTCACTTTACTGGATCTCTCTTTGGCAACTTGAGTGTGTTCTTTTTGTGAGTTGTGTTGTGCCTCCTGCTGTTTCAGCATGAGAAATACACCAGCCAGCTGCAGATGGGTCTGAAGGCCTCGGAGGGGAAGAGGGCTGAGCACCTGGATGACAAGTCCAAGCTAGAGAAGACAGACAGGAAATCTCTGTCTCAAGGTAAGTGTTAGCGAAGGCTTCAAACCTGTTTAATTGCTATTCCACCATATATTCCCCCAGTATATTCTTTCTCTGAACAAAGCTCATCGCCTGTTGGGGTAGGGTGGGGGGTCTAGATACATGTAGTAATCATATTGATAGACCTGTTTGGATAGCTAAATGCTTTGATTTAAGCTTTGAGCTCATAACAACTCTGGGAATTGGGACATCATGGTACGTTAAACATGACATCGCTTGCTTTCTCTTCATTTATGTCACTGCTTAATGACACAACTGTTTTAACTTGGCAGAATATCCTAGATTGAATAGGTTTGATCATTCTGATTATAAATTGTCACTAATACCTGGAATGGTATGGTGTGTGAGGATGAGGAGTATTTTAGCTTTGCTCTGTTCCTCTAAAGAAAAGGAAAACGTCCCTGTCCTTCGACTATGATGTTAGCATCAGCTCAACCTCTTTCAGTCAGAACATGTTCCCCCTCCCCCTCTTTGTCATCCCTCACTCTCCCTCCATCCCTCTCTCTGCCACCCTCTCCGGCGGCTGCATTTGGTCACATCCCGTCTCCATGGTGACGGCTGCAGCACCCATAGTCACAGTTCAGCTCAGCTCAGCACCGATGGCCTGCTTGATTTTTGCTCTATGTTATTCACACTGCCATACCCCTGTCAAGCTCTCTGCCAGAGGGTTCATATAATCCAAGAAGCCATAAACGGGTCATGATCAACTATCTATCAACTAACAGATGCTGATTCAACAGCTATATCGGAATAGGCTGCGTTGTGCCCTCTCCGGCTAATGTGTTGTACCTGAAAAACCTTTTGTGTGCCCTGCGAGGCTGTGATGACAAATATAAGTCAGTGGAATACAGCTGAATCCACACTCAAATCAACACAGTTAATCTCCTCATTTACTGTAGCCTCTGTGCTCAAATAAAACTCTGAATGAACACTGCCTAAAGGACTTCCACTGGATGTGTTGGACACACTGGATGAAATACTGTGTCATAAATAACATGCCTTATGTGTGTCTGATGTTAGCACTTGTCTTGATTAGCATCAAGAGGTATGAAAAGAAACCCTGAGTGGAAACATGGGTTGAATGATGTAATAGGGTATGTGAAATAAATGTCATCTGATACTGAAGAAGAAAAACTGATCCATAGGGTTTGATATCTAACATACTTTATCTTCATTTGGGGTTGCTGCCAGTGCCCCCATAGTATCTACCTTAGAGATGGATTTGATGTATTCTAGTGGGGTAGCGACAAACCTTGAATATTCTTCCTCTAAACTCCCAGTGGACCAATAGTAGTAGATGGATGACTGCTGCAGTTCAGAAAGATTACTCCTCTCTCATTTGGCTGTGTGTGCGTGCGTGTGTGTTTGTGTGTTTCCGTGCATGTTCACAGAGGCTCCAACCTCCCGACCCACCCCATTGTATGGCCAGCCCTCGTGGTGGGGGGAGGAGGATGCGGCCAGCAAAGGACAGCACAGTGAGGGAAATAGGCCAGAGGAGGGTCACCCAGGTCGGTCCCACGTTACTAGTGGTCCTTTCTCTCAAATACTCTGAATACTCTGAAACTTTGGAAAATGTTTGCAGTTCCTTTTTAGAGAATAGAGATGAACAAAAAATGGTTTGTGGTTGTCCTTTAATTTGCTTGTTGGTGCTTAATTGGTGCTTTGACATCTATCCATTTGCAGAGATTCCAAAGGAAGGTTCAGCCTTAGATCCAGAGGTGAATGGCTCCCTGTTAGAGTACAGAGACAATCAGGGAAAGTCCATCTTCCCCTACCACCGGGAGCCTAGCTACTTTGAGATCCCTACCAAGGAGTTCCAGCTGCATCCCAAGTCCCTGGGGGCAGAGCTCCATGAGATCCCCACCAAGGACACAGATACGCCCTCTGCCCAAGCCACTCCCACCCCCACCACACCCAGTCCCCCTGTGGTGCAGAGCCACGCCTCCTTCACCATAGAGTTTGATGACTGCACGCCAGGCAAGATCAAGATCAAGGACCACGTGACCAAGTTCTCCTCGCGCCAGAGGAAGCAGCAGCAGCAGGCGTCCGGGAAAACTCTGGCCACCACACCCACTGAGGTGATGTCAGCCGAGTGCAAGGTGGTAGATTGGTTGGTGCACAGCGATGTCAGAATGATGAGGAGACGTCCCACGTGTGAGGATGTTTACAGTGTCAAGAGTGACCAGGCCGTCAACATCAAGAGCCTCAAAGGTCAGTGTGGTACTTTTAGAGAAATATTTTATAGAAATCAGTAAGGTCTGTAAGGCGTTGTTTATGTGTTTCCTGTCCCTCATTTGCGGTTTGAATGTATCTGTTTCTAGGGCACCACCATGACGATGGGACCCAGAGTGATTCTGAGGACCCGGTCTTAGGGAAAGGGAAGCGAAGCAAGTCACACCACCGGGTCCAGTCGCAACATTCGATCCAGTCAAAACTTTCCCTGTCCGAGCTGTCAGAACCATCACAACAGACAGTGCTGTCATACCAATTAGTCAAGTCACAACAGACACAGCAGACAGTCCAGTCGCACCAATTGATCCAGTCAGAGCACTCAGTTATGTCAGTCCAGTCACACCAGACAGTCACATCAGTTCCGTCGCAGCAATCAGTTCCGTCACAAAGGTTACTCCAGCCTCAGTCTCAGTTTTCTCCGCCCAAACTGACCCCAGTTTCTCCTGTGGCCCCTGAGAGGCCCCTGTCTCAAAGCCCGCCTGAGGCTCGCTCCCCCACCATGGGCCCCTCTAAGCCCGGCCCCCAGGAGCCCCTCACCCAGCAAGCCTTCATCATAGAGTTTTTCGACGACAACCCGCGCAAGAAACGCTCGCAGTCCTTCACAGCCAATCCTGCCCACGCAGACTCTTACTCCGCCCTCAAGGCCAAGCTGGAGCGGAGGAAGGGGGGGGAGAGGCCAAACTCCATGCACGGCCACATCCCTCCCACCCAGCAGGTGACTGTTCCTCTGAAGGGCCAGGGCCACGGTGGGTCCCAGAGGTCTAGCGCCCTGAAGAGGGAGAAGACAGAGGAGCCCCTGAGTGGAGGCAGTGCCTCCTCTTCCTCCGGTTCTGGGCCTTCCTCTCGCGCCTCATCTGGCATCACCATCAAGCCCTTTGGCAGTGTGGGGAAGAAGTCCAAGATGGCCCAGGAGTTTGCAGCAGAGTTCCTGATGAAGGATGCAGGCCACAGAGCCTTGTCTCCCACCAGGGATAAGACGTCTCCTCCTCCCATGTCCGCTCCCCCGGTGATGTTGATGTCACCCTCACGCACCTGCATTCCGTCCCCCTTAGACCCCCCTTCCTCTGTCTCCTATCCCTCCTCCCCCTTGCAACCCACTGCACCACGTTCCTACTCTCCAACTCCTGCCCCTCATTCCCCAGTCCTAGCCCTCTCCCACCCCCCCTCCCGCAGCCCTGTCCAGACTGCCTCCCCAGTCCACTCACCCATCCACTCCATGCCCCCTCTGATGCCCCTGGGTCTGGGGGTGCGTGGGGTGGACCCTAAAGCCTCCAGGGTGGTGAGGAACGAGGAAGAGGACAGTCTGAGTGATGCCGGCACCTACACCATCGAGTCCCAGGACAAAGAGGTGGAGGAGGCACGCAACATGATCGACCAGGTGAGATTGTAGTAGTCAGTGGTTACTCGTTCTTCATTTTTAAAGTCTCTGCCACCAACCATTTCTTTTTGGGGGTGATGGTGGACCTTTTCACATGCGTGTAATTATTTTACGGTAGCTTTTCAACTGTTTGGATTCTGACGTTAAATGCTACGATTCTAACAAGTGGTATAATTCTATAATAAACCATATAATGCCTTGATGACAATACCTTGAGCGACGCATGCTTTGAACTTCCTCCCCCTAACAAGTACCCCCTCCCAATCCCGCCTTCCTTCTTCCCCTTACAAAGTCCCATTGTCCAATCTCTTCTCCTACCTACTTCATGCATGCTCTGTCCCTCCCTGACAGGTGTTTGGTGTCCTCGACTCACCAGAGTACAGTGGTGCCGGAGTGTATAGACCCATCATTAATGATGGCAAGGACGAGCTGGCAATGCTCCGGCCTAGTGATGGTAGCACTGTGGATCAAATGGCAGCAGTGTCTTTGCATGGCTTTAACCCAGCCACCCTCAGTGGGGCCCCATCAGGCCCCATCCAGGTAACGTCACCGTCCTACGCTACTGGAGAAATAAGGGATCTAATATGTTTGCATGTTCCACCCCAAACCTATGCATGTTTATCATTTGTTTTTCCTTGATACTCCCTTTGGCTTCTACAGTGCTCTTTACAATGTAAGGATTGTCCTTGGAAGGAGATTTTAATGATAGTTATCCTTCAACGTTGTGCTCTGTAGAGCTGTATGCAACCCCTTATAGTTTCCTCCACTGTTTCAGGTGCAGTCTGCTAACAATGCAGCACAGGAGGAGGGGCCTAAGTGGGTTTCTCGCTGGGCCAGTCTGGCAGACAGCTATGCAGAACCGGGCTCTACTCCACCTCAAGGGGAATTTGCAGAGGGAGGTGAGATATCTGCACCCACTGACCGCTCTGCTCAGAACTTATGTGAGAAAACAGCAAAAAGCCTGAATTAAAATGATGTTTCTCTGTCCTAGATTTGGGATTTATGAGTCGGTTGATACCTAGCCACAGAGTGGATAACTCTGAGTTAGAGGGGAGCCAGAGTTGTAGGACCAGGAGGCTGCTTCCCCAGGTTCCCCCTGGAGACAGAGACAAGCCAGAGAGCCCCACCCCCAGCATCCTGATCCGCCACGAACCCCCCTACCCAGGCCCCGAACCCCCCCTGGAGAGGAGTAGTGGTACGCCCCGGTATCAGGACAACACCCAGAGTCTGTGTGTCCAGGACGATGTAGACCCAGACAGCCTGAGTGACGCCAGCCGCTCTGACGATGGCTCTGTGCTGGAGAGGACCAGGAAGAGCCAGGGGAGGAAGAGTGGCGCTACCTCGCCCGGGGACACTGGACCTCAGTATAAGGGTCGAGATAAGCTGTCTCCGACTCAGTCTACCAAGTCCACCTCCTTTTACATTGGGTCTGAGGACGGCAGCTCAGGCAAGCCGGACCTGGCCCGAAGCCCTATTTTGTCTCAGGGGACTGAGAGGGGGCGAGACACCACTGCCAAAACCTCCCCCACCACTGTCCTCATCAGGCACCTGAGCAGCCACGAGCCCCGGAGGTCGGGCGTAAAGCCCAACAACTCAGCCCCCAACCTCCACTCCCAGCAGGATAAAGACTCTAAAGACCAGAGTAAAGACACCCTGGGGACCTCCTCGTTCGTCAGGCAGGAGAGTTTCACCAAGGAGCGACCCAGTGATGATGTCCAGATCAAGAGGCTCCCCCACATCTCCAGTCACCCCACCCTAAGCGACATGGAGCAGAGGAGAGAGACAGCCCAGGACCCACAGCCCTTCCTCAGGGAAGAAGCAGATGGCGTTCTCTCCTCTCTGGAGGTCACATTCCCCTCCTCAGGCTCCAGACACAGCTCTAAGAGAGGAGGCTCCTCCAGTCACATGGACGACTCTCTGTCTGGGGAATCAGATGTGGATACAGCCAGCACCGTCAGCCTGGTCAGCAACAAGAACACCCCTGTCACCACAGGCCCTAAGAAGAGGATGGCCGTCAGTGGCCTCCAGAAGGAGAGATCCTCCTCCAGTCCATCTGTCCAGGGGAAGGGCCACCGCCAGCCCACGGCCCGTGAGCGCCTGTCAGAGAAACGCCGCAACCACGCGGCTGCCAGTGATAACTCCAGCAGCAAGGCCGAGCAGGCCAAGCACTTCCAGATGCGGCCGCAGCACGGGGAACCGCGGCTCCCTGGACCTATCAGAGGGCCAGCAGGGTTCTGGCCAGCACTGGCCTGACACTGCCTCTGACCATGACACTGGCCCCCGCCCCACCAGCCGTAGCAAGAAGCTCATAGCTCCCCTACAGAAAGAGGACAATGGGAAGACCCCCAAGAGTGCAGCACAGCAGGCACTGATCCGCTCCAACAGCCTGTCAGCACCACGGCCCACCCGGGCATCCATGCTGCGCAGGGCACGTCTGGGAGAGACCTCTGACAACGAGGGAACTGAGACTGACCGGGGATCCCAGAACTCAGACCACATCGGTGCCCCCAGCAAGGTGTCTGCTGATGGGAAGAAGCTCCTCTCCAGACTGGACATCTTGGCCATGCCCAGGAAGCGAACAGGCTCCTTCACTACGCCTAGTGACAACGAGTCCTCCACCACGACCCCTACAACCCGGCATGGCTTCTCCAATGGGAGTGCAGAATCAACTGCGCCGATCAGGAAGACATCAGTGGGTGAAGCAGGGGCCAAGCAGGGGGCCACAAGAGGGGCCGGAGCCCCCGTGAAGCAGCTCCTCACCCGCACACGCTCCAGCGGGGCTAAATACTCCAGCACACCAGTGAGTATTATTGTCAAAATTACCATCAAGTAACTTCTCAAATATGCATAGGAATGCCATTTTCTTGCTCAAAGCACTGCAGAGAACACAACATGATTTTTTATCCTGAACCATAAATCATGATTTAAAGGTCATTTACTGTATCATCAGATTATTGAAACAGGGCCTGACACTGAGTTGAAGTTACCTTTTCCACCCTTCATAGTGAATGTGTCCTTGGTGAGATGCATGCAGGTAGGCTGTATTGTGGCTTGTCTTGTAGGAGATCAGTGTAGTCGCTACGAAGCAGTGTGATGATGCCCTCTGCTGCCTGCTGCCGTTTCCATAGAAATACAGCTCCTGGCCAAACATCATTACACATCCATTTTTTCATTTCTCCGAAATTTGATGTGCATGTAAATTATTGTTAAACAGATTTGGACCCATATTATGCATACAGTGCATTCGGAAAGTATTCAGACCCCTTGACTTTTTCCACATTTTGTTACATTACAGCCTTATTCTAAAATTGATTAAATGAATTTTTTTCCTCATCAAATCTACACACAATACCCCATAATGACAAAGCGAAAACAGGTTTTTAGAAATGTTTGCACATTTATTAAAAATTGAAAACAGAAATACCTTATTTACATAAGTATACAGACCCTTTGCTATGACACTTGAAATTGAGCTCTGGTGCATCCTGTTTCCATTGATCATCCTTGAGATGTTTCTACAACTTGATTGGAGTCCACCTGTGGTAAATTCAGTTGATTGGACATGATTTGGAAATGCACACACCTGTCTATATAAGGTCCCACAGTTGACAGTGCATGTCAGAAACCAAGCCATGAGGTCGAAGGAATTGTTTGTAGAGCTCCGAGACAGGATTGTGTCGAGGCACAGATCTGGGGAAGGGTACCAAAACATTTCTGCAGCATTAAAGGTCCCCAAGAACACAGTGGCCTCCATCATTCTTAAATGGAAGAAGTTTGGAACCACCAAGACTCTTCCTAGAGCTGGCCGCCCGGCCAAAATTAGCATTCGGGGGATAAGGGCCTTGGTCAGGGTGGTGACCAATAACCCGATGGTCACTCTGACAGAGCTCCAGAGTTCCTCTGTGGAGATGGGAGAACCTTCCAGAAGGACAACCATCTCTGCAGCACTCTACCAATCAGGCCCTTATGGTATAGTGGCCAGACGGAAGCCACTCCTCAGTGAAAGGCACATGACAGCCCGCTTGGAGTTTGTCAAAAAGCACCTAAAGGACTCTCAGACCATGAGAAACAAGATTCTCTGGTCTGATGAAAACAAAATTGAACTCTTTGGCCTGAATGCCAAGCGTCATGCTGGGGGATGTTTTTCAGTGGCAGGGACTGGGAGACTAGTCAGGATTGAGGGAAAGATGAACGGAGCAAAGTACAGAGAGATCCTTGATGAAAACCTACTCCAGAGCGCTCAGGACCTCAGACTGGGGTGAAGGTTCACCTTCCAAGAGGACAACGACGCCAAGTGAACACAGGAGTGGCTTCAGGACAAGTCTCTGAATGTCCTTGAGTGGCCCAGCCAGAGCCCGGACTTGAACCCAATTGAACATCTCTGGAGAGACCTGAAAATAGCTGTGCAGCGACGCTCCCCATCCAACCTGACAGAGCTTGAGAGGATCTGCAGAGAAGAATGGGAGAAACTCCCCAAATACAGGTGTGCCAAGCTTGTAGCGTCTCTAGAAGACTCGAGGCTGTAATCACTGCCAAAGGTGCTTCAACAAAGTACTGAGTAAAGGGTTAAAAAAAAAAAAGCTTGTCATTATGGGGTATTGTGTGTAGATTGATGAGGAAAAAAACTAATTTAATCAATTTTAGGATAGGGCTGTAACGTAACAAAATGTGGAAAAGGTCAAGGGGTCTGAATACTTTTCGAATGCACTGTAGATGTGTATTACGTACTTATGTATCAGTATCAATATTGTGGAGTAATATTTGCAATCCCAAGGGTCTGGCAATGAATAATGTTGTTAATATTAATGTGAATGACTAGTCTACTGTTCCTATCTTCCTATTTGAGGATTGATTTAGAGTGTACTATGTTTTTAGGATTATTTCTGGGAGGAATAATCCTGTAATTTAATGAAATTGGTCAAATGAACCATGCTGTTTTCTGGTAGGTTCCTGTCGAAGGCAGAAAGGTTCAGACGACACCTCCACATCTGAGGAGGAATATGAGGCCAGCTCTGGAACCCCCAAACACAAACGCTCCTCCCACACGTCTGCTGCCACACAGACCCCCCGGGCCCAGAAGGAGAAGGCTGCAGTAGCAGCAGTCGCCCGGTCCAAGTCCGGCTCACTGGAGACTGAGGAGGACGAGGTCCAGAATGAGACTGACCACTACCAGAACTGGACCACACACAGCGCCGAGATAGCAAAGTAGGGTGACATAATGGCACTAACTATGGCTTGACTGTGTATCACCTGAAACCACTTACTGAGTCTCATGATTGGCAGCTGTGGAACATGCATTCTGTACGTATGTATTTTCTATATGGTCGTGACTTGTGTTTGTGTCTTGCCAGGCTCAGTCAGGACTTGGCCAAGGACCTTGCCATCCTGGCCCGTGAGATCCATGACGTGGCGGGGGACGGGGACTCCCAGAGTTCCTCTGGAATGGGCACAAACCCCTCCCCCAGCTCTGCAACCAACACGCCCGGGCCCGCCTCCACCATCCCTATCTCTAGCCGGGAAGAGGTGCGCCCGCCCACTACCCATAATACAATTCAAACATGCCCCCTGGCCTGTACCTCACATTATTTCCATCCTGTTGTAATGTTCCAATGCATAATACAACGGCACTGCAGCCTATGAGATTTTGTTTTACCAATGTGCCACTAAATATTTTACATGAATATTCTGTACAGGCTCAGTGAAAAGTGCCTTATCATGTCTTAGATTCTCATGAGCATGTCTCTGTTCTCTACTGTACAGAGGCCATATACATCTTTGCGAGGGGTCCTCCCATCTCAGGTGCATACCTCAGATACATCAGACTCTCTCTCTCTCTCTCTCTCTCTCTCTCTCTCTCTCTCTCTCTCTCCTGCAACGGTTTCTATTTCTTTCTCTTCACCTCCCTGCTCCCACACTCTTCATGCTATCATCACTAATCCAAACACTGGTATTTTGTTGGATTGTTATGCTACAGATTCTTACATTTTATGACACTGGGATGTTCTATGTGTTTTTAATGACTGTTTGTAGTGACAGCTTTTCAGGACCATAAATACCTGCCTGCCACTGGCTCACTACAGACTTTCACTGCAACTCTCACTGTAACAGGCACATTTTCACGTTCCACTAACGTCATTTTGTTCCTGCTTGTATCCCAGCAAAACAAAAATGCACTGCTCACAGTTCAACTGCTCTCACCCCCGCATGTTGCCTTCGAGCATGTGATCACAAAGCACTAGTCACACTGGTTGATTTTTCTCTAGGACAGTATAACAAAGATATTCTCACTTCTTATTCTCACTGTGCCCTTGAAGTACAGTAGAAGGCCTTGAGGCACTGACTCCCTCAGTAGTCATGGTCATGTCGGTTGTTCAGAACGTGCGGACCATGCTCTGATTCTATTCTCTTTCCAGCTGGTCCAACATATCCCTGAAGCCAGCTTAAACTACCAGAAGGTTCTACTATCGCCAGGTTCTTCTGCTGTCATGGACCTGGATCCTAACATGAATGACCAAGACCCAAGCTCTAAGCCACGGTGGAACCGTGAAGAGGTCACTTTCCTGTCAACACTTGTTTCTCCTCTATTTTAGAATAGTACTTTCACTACCTATCAATGATTTGGAAACCTAGGAATATCACAACTATAACAAAGCTGGCTCATGCATAAACAAACGGGCACTCAGGCTACACAAAAGGAGCTATTGCAGTTAGTTTTGGTCTGCTGGGAATTAGACTAAAGTATATTTATGCAGGTGAAACTACTTTAGGAATACTTTGGGGGGAGGGTTTGACGTACGCCATTTTCTCCTTCCAGGTGATTTTGGACAATCTGATGTTGAACCCTGTTTCTCAGCTCTCTCAGGCCATTCGGGAGAACACAGAACAGCTGGCTGAGAAAATGAAGTAAGGGAACTTGATGTACCTCCGCTCTTACCTTGTGTTTCTGTTAAATAGAAAAGAGCTAATAAATTATTTCCTCTCTGCTTGGCTCAGTTAGATTATACTATGTATTTTTTCTGTCAGGGTTTTATTCCACAACAAGACTGCGGCCTGGGAGGAGATTGAAGCGAAGATCAATGCTGAAAACGAAGTCCCCATCCTCAAAACATCAAATAAGGTACAACATTGGTAGCCAGCCATACATCTTACATTGGTAGCCATTTTGGTGTAAAACTGAGGTCATCATATATGGGAAAATGTGTAATCGTCATCATTTTAATTCTACTCTCACAGGAAATCTCCTCCATCCTGAACGAGCTGAGAAGAGTACAGAAACAACTAGAAAGTAAGAGTTACATATGGCTAATTTTTTCCTAAAATGTATTGGGAGTGAAATGTTGAATTGCTTTTCCTGAACGGCCTCATATCTGCATAACATATTCAGAACATCTAAATAAAGCTGAAAGCACATGATCCAGCCAATGGAATTGAATAGAACAGTGAATGTTCCTTTGGTTCTATAGTGATCAACAGCATTGTGGAACCCGGTGGAGCTGGCAGTGGGAAACCTAAGGTGACAGCGGTGGCTGCTGCGACTTCAGCAGGACAGGCCATCAGGTCCCCCTTGCGGCAGAAGAAAGCCCCCAGTAAGCCCACTGGGCCTGGGGACAGACAGCATGGTGCCAGCCCCTCTACCAGCCCCACCACCTCCAAACCCAACACCAACGCCAACGAAAGCACCAAGAGGTCCACTCGAGGCCACAAAGGGGCAAACTTTATGGCCTGATCAGTGATCCCAGGCTTCTGTAGCATCTCCTGATGGTTGTAATGTAAAACCATCATGACACAGTATACTGTACATGCGTTTTGACTGGTAAAGGTGTAACTGAGTACCGCTGTTTAGAATTGCTTCTTCCATATTGCACAAGCTCAACTAAAAGTAGGCAAAGCTGGGTAAAATAAGGGGTAACTTGTCGCTTGCTTTAATGAGTGGATTGTGGACAAAATAATGTCCATATGCCTTGTCTACTTGTCCTCTACTATGTGCAATGTGTGGTTGCCCAGTACTGTAGGTTTGGCCTAGTCTGGGTACCAGTCTTTTCAGCTAACATAACTCTTAGCCACTCCTGTAATTTGGCAAATGACAGGACTGGCAAGGAGTGGAATGCAATAGCTGAACAGAGACAGCAACCAGGCTAGGTTTGGCCAGATGACCAAGATAAGACAGGCTACATCCTTGCCCCTTCTTTGTTACCATAGTGATGATAATCATAATAAAAACACTACTAGGTGTCCATGAGAACATGTGCTGGATTGCTTCAATATTATGGCAGAATTAGAGAGGACATTAGTGGTGTTATATGCTTGTCTTGTAAAATATGATTAATTAAATTCCTGAGCGACTGGGACATTTTACTGCTTGGCAAAAAGCTACTGCTGAATGAACTGACCACCACTCTCCCTTTTTTTCAAATTGATTGTCTGATATTATGAAAATACTTAAGATTAGTTTATATGAATGTTGTGCGTACAGAATGTTAGTATAGGGTATCATAGAATGTTCAAGATCCCAAATAAATACGGTATACAATAAACAGCATCAGAAGGATGGGAAAAACATACTTGTCAAAACATTTTCATATGCTGCCATTTTGAATTAATTAATTTGTTAAGTTTGGTCAAACAACTATCTGAGGTATTATTTAAGTCATCCATTTTGTCATTCTCTACCAAGCTTTGGATGACACTATCAATGATGAAGCTTCATGGTTGTGATTTCATGTTATTGGCAGTGGCACTATATTTATGTCAGAGTAGTTGATAGTATGGTACTGATGTAGCTTGTTTATCTGGTGTGTCTGAAGGAGAGAACGCTTGAGGATTCAAGAGTGAAGGGATGAGTTAACCTAGATGCTTCAAATGAGAAAATTGCCCCAATTTGACTGTATTGTAGTGTGCTAGCTTTGTAACGGTAGAATGGAGCAGTTCTTTATTGTCCCCTGTGTGTGTCTGTGTGTGTGTGTGTGTGTGTGTGTGTCACATGAGGTTGGTGGCACCTTAATTGGGGAGGACGGGCTTGTGGTAATGGCTGGAGCAGAATCATTGGAATGGTATCAAATACATCAAACACATGGTTTCCATGTGTTTGATGCCATTCCGTTATCAGCCGTCCTTCCCTCAGCAGCCTCCACTGGTGTGTGTGCACTAAGAGCACCTATGAGTTATGTTGCTGTTGTGTGCTGATCCAATGTCACAGTTTACTCCCTCCGTCTGCCAAGGCAGCTGGGATAGGTGGGAATGTGTGCGAGGAATGCTGTATAGATGTAAGTTAAAGAATAAGAACTGAAAAAACAAATATTTTACAACTATTTTGTGAAAGTGCACGTGTACCATAATTATGTAGTTTAGTTGGGTGAGAGTTCAGGCTAGTTCACCAAATGTGCACTTTTTCATGCTGAGATACACCTCATAACCCATGGGTAGAACTGGAAATAAAGCAGTATGTTTAATTAAGCAGTAAATACAATGACTTGTGGCTGACATTTTTATTTTGCAATGTTTTAACTTTCAAGGGCAGGCTGTTTTAGAGTAGTGCTTATCAGTTTGATTTCTGTCAAGTATTTAAGCCTACAACAGACCATATCTATGCTAAAAGCAAAGCTTTTTTTTAACAATCATCATTAGTGCCATGGTGTTCACTGACCTTGAAGCCATTGAGAATGTATGGATTTGTCATCTACCCAGAACAGACATCTGACTGGCTATTGCTCTGATTATGTCACTTCTGCTGCTAAGGGTGATGTCAGCATTGGGCTACTTGCTTCTAAATATACATTTTGTTACAATGCATGCAACTCAAGTATAAGCTGTATTAAAAAGAAAAATTACTGCAAAGTGCAAACCAAACTATGTGAATATCTGTCAGGTATATGTCAAAAGCATTTTTTTTTCTATGACTGAGGTTATGGTCATACTGAAGGCTACAATGTTGTTTCTAAATTAAACGGTTATGTTCTTCCAGATGTATTCATTTATTATTTTTGTTGTACTGAATATATTTACAAATGTCATGGACCAGTTTGTGCATCATCGTGAACATTGATTTGTACCATCATATAATTTTTAATAAACTGATTTCAGTCATAAAATGTTATATTTTATTACAGATGTTATATTTAACAAAAAGTTGATGACATACAGAACAATTACACTTGTACACTACATCATGTTGTTAGTAGACAGACAGGTTGCATCCCAAAATGCACCAATGTTCCAGCTTACAGTGAATGCAACAGTGCTGTTGCTCTGGGATTTCCGAGACTATAGCATTGTGGGTAGGCCTACACTTTTGGAAGGACTTGGGAACAAAAGGTCAAATCTTAAGATTGTTCTTGTTCTGATGGGAGGCATTGTAATGGAACTGTTCCATTAAACTATGCCTCCCCATAAAACCATGCCAGCATCACATCACACTGTGGCTTACAGATGTCGTGGGCCAGACCCACAAAAGTCTCAAAATCTCTGCTACTCTATGTGACAATATTTGACAATTGCTGTCCAATGATTCCCAAACAGAAATTTAGCAATTTTGTCAATAACTTTAAGAATGGATAGCCTAATGTTGCCTCAGGTGTACAAAGCATAGGGCGACAGGTAGCCTAGCGGTTAGAGGCGAGCCAGCAGCCGGAGGGTTGCCAGTTCGAATCCTGGGTCTGAAGGGAAACATCAGGTGGTAAGTGAGCATGGCAACTGGAAGGTTGTTGGCATCAAATCCTAGATGCCATTGCCTGCTGTTGTGTCCTTGAGCAAGGCACTTAAACCTCCCACAACAACTGCTCCACTAGCGCCAGCCCCCTGCTCCAACCTGTGTATGTATGCGTGTGTTTTTCGGAGGGGTTGGGTAAAAGCAGAAGTCTACTTTCGATTGGATCTTGTGTACAATTGAATAAAGTGATCTTAAAGTTACTCAGTAAAATGACTTGTCAGGAGCAGCACCGGAGATAATGGGCGCGGTCGAGCGGATCACTTCCAAAGTGTGTTGCATTATGGGGATAAAAATTGTCCGACTTGTGCCTACATGAACTTTACAAAAACCATGTGATCAAATGTCAAATCAAGTCATGAAGACTGCAGGTTTCTTCACAAACTTCATCCTGCAGCCATCCCTGCATTGTGGGAGGTTCTATAATCAACCACTTATTTTTTTTACTCACGCTAGCGTGAGGAAAGACATCACTGAAGCCAAGTCTGCCGTGAATCATGTATACAGTGGATATGTACAAATGAACGTGATCTTTGAGGCGCTCACAGATTGTACAACATAGACATTACTTCAGTTTGAGTGTGATATGGAGGTTAAAGACATTATTTCGACATTTATACACAACGCCAACACTGCCATGTTGATCTGAGCCTTGCTGTTGGAACAACCAGTGTCCGCAGATGCACCTCCGACTAGTCTACAGTCGGTTGTGTCAGCCTTACCACTCAAACGCACCCATAGAGATGAGCAACACTTCGAGATCTGTGCATCATCGAATGGGTTCTTGTCACGGTTGCCAGGGCACCAAAACAGCAGAGAAGTTGAGCCTCGCGCTTTACACTTTTAGTTGTTGCGGAACTTGACCCACTATGCGGTTTACTTGCTGCATTATATAAGCTACCACAAAGTTGGTGACACTAGTACAGTAGGTGGCAGTAATGCGCAATAAATGTAGGTACTTCGTAGCCAACCACACCAGAAGGGTCTTGACTGCTTTCGCAGATTTGCTAGCAAGCTTGGTTACCTACGTTTAGAAGTGTCCCCTTTGTTTTTGGTTAAAAGTAACCGGCTTTGGGGGGCTTTAATGTTCCGTGAAGCTAATTTAAAGACCATTGACAAAGAGGGAACCAGCTGGTAAGTGATGTCGCGAAATTCGTGGCTAGCCAGCTGACTAGCATAGCACGCCTGCTTAACGTTGTATTTTGATGAAACGACAGTGCTAACGTTAATCGGCTACCTAGCTAACTTTCAGATGTTGACATTGTCAGCAAAATGGGCCACTGACGTTAACTAACGCCTGACTGCCCATTTGCGTGATGTCTGTACTCTAGATTTAACTAACTTTTCTTTTACGACTTAGCCAACTATGCTACCTAACGTTAGCTTTTAAAATGAGGCCAGATCTCCATGGATTGTGCCTGGGCCGTCTAGCCCAAGTTATGCATGTAAATTCAGCCAACATTTGGTTGCAGCTAATAGCTAGCACATACATACACTGGTACACCTTCCATTACAGCTCATAAGATGCCAGGGGAGGGGTGTATTCATTACGCCTTGTAACGGAAACCGTGTAAGAACCAAACGGAACGAAGGACCTACCCGAATTTGCCCAATAGAAACTGGTTTTCGTTGCGAAAGATTGTGCAACAGAATAAGCGTAATGAATTTACCCCTGGTCTCATGGGACAGTTTCACACTGACATGTTTAATAGGATACACACTTTAGGCTGTACACTAAAGGAAAGGTGGATGGTATAAGGAAGTTGACTGGTTTAGAGTTCAGAATGCCACCATGGCGCATCGATAACTTAATGCAGATGAAAGGAGCAGATTAAGCAAGAATCCAAATAGTGGGGTTTTATTGAACACAGGCAGGAGCACATGGGGAAAGGTTGTAGGATAATGTAGTTTACTATGGAAATACAAGAGGGAGGTAAACATGTTACCATACAAGCATGACTGACAAGTGCAAAAAGTAGAATAAACCGAAGTGTATCAAACAAACTGACGATATCTTACATACTGGACTGGCAGGAAATTGTTCTAGATATGGCAGCAGCATATACACTTTGACAAACTTCAAGGATCTTAATGTTAACATTTACACATGTGCTTTGACAATGGAGAGTACTCACTTTGTCAGCCACGCACAACATGGAAAGGAAAACATAGGATGGCCACCTCATGCATTCACCAACAGGAATAAGCAAGATTGGAGGGAAAAACTGTTGCTTAAATAGACAAGAGGCGCTAATGAGCAGAGTGGAGACAGGTGTTGTGGGGAGGGGCGTGGGCAGAGGTTATGGGTGAAGACATTAGTCTTCACAACACACAAATTCAAATAATCTTCACTGTTTGTACACACTCACACCTCCTTTCTCTCCTTCCCTAGGCACTTTAGCCGGACAATGGACGATGGACGAGCTGGTCCATGACCTGGTGTCGGCGCTGGAGGAGAGCTCGGAGCAGGCGGCCCGGGGGGGCTTTGGGGATGGGGGGGACCATGCGCTGGCCGTAGGCTGCCTGCTGAAGAGACAGGGCCGGAAACGCCGTGGGAGGAAGAGACGCTCTGACAACCCCCACCCAGCCTGGGAGACTGGCCACCTCAGTGAGGGCTCTGAGTCCAGCCTTGATGAACACAAGGTGGGGAGGGAGGAGGGGGTCTCAGACAGGCCCGTAATGAACCTCACGTGTCTTGTTGTTATTGTAAAGGAATAGTACCTTGTTAACTGCTATTTTTTTAGTAAAGTACAGTAATTAGATTCCTTAAGATAACAAATACTGTCAGTTTAACTGTCTAAGCTAGGTAGCCTAGCGGTTAAGAGCGTTGGGCCAGTAACCGAACAGTTGCTGGTTTGAATCCCGAGTCGACTGGGTTGAAAAAATCTGTCAATGTGCCCTCGAGCAAGGCACTTAACCCTAATTGCACCTGTAAGTTGCTCTGGATAAGAGTGTGTTAAAATGTTTGACTTTCTGAACATGTCTTTGTCTAACCGGTTTTGTCTTTCCTCTTGCTCTCCTTCTCTTCCTCGCTCCTTTCCTCTCAGGACTACCGCACCACCACAGGCGGTGTTGCCAGCAGCAACAGCCACGCCCGCGACAACAGCGACTCTGATGAGCAGCTGGGGCCCAAGCGCCGTACCCCCCTGAACCCCGACACAGGGCGTGCCAAGCGCCCCATCTGGCAGGAGGACCTAGGAGGAGTGCCGGGTGCAGAGGGGTCCCGTAGTTTGAGGCGACGGCGCAAGGTCAAACGCATGGCCGTGGACCCCCCTCTGGAGCCGGTTACCTCCAGTAGCAACACCTCCATGCTAGGGCCCCCACCCGTCCCCAAGCCCCACGCAGGGTGCAGGATCCCTGGGGTGAGCGTGGCTGAGGGCAGGATGGGGATGGAGCTCGTTGGTGGTGGTGGGGTTGGAAGAGGAAAAAGCAGGGTAAAGAAGAGGAAACTGGCTGCCCACAGGCTGGGGCTGGAGGCAACTGATGAAGGGGTGGTGGTGGAGAGTGAGGACGCCATTATGGGGCAGGTGGGGCCCAAGGACAAAATGGAGTTTGAGGAGCAGAAGGGCTCAGACGAGGACATGAGTGACAGGTGGTTAGTGTTTCTCTTGTCTGCTATGTTTCCCTGCTCCTTTGTGTAGGCCTATACGTTCACAGGTACACTCACCTGGTTGGAAAGCAGTGTTTAGGAGGCTTGTTTGCTAGGTTATTCTCCCCATAGCTTCATCTTCCTGAGAGTTTTCCTTGTATGATGGACAATGGAAATTGATTTCAGACTTTTCTCTTCTTCTTTTCCCATCACCTCTCCTCACACCCCATATTTTCTCCTTTATCCCTCTCTTTCTCTCTCTCTTAGTGAGACCAGCAGTGTGAGCAACAGTAGCGATGGTGGACTGTACACCAATGACGAGGGGAGGCAAGGTAACCATTATTTTGCTGGCCACCAAATCTTGTCATTTACAGGAACGGCGGAATACATTTTGTTTATTTGTCACATGCTTTGTAAACAACAGGTGTAGACTAACAGTGAAATGCTTACGGGTCATTTTCCAACAATGCAGAGTTAAAGATAAAAATATAAATAGTGACACAAGGAATAAATACTCAGTGAATAACAATAATGAGTAAAAATAACATGGCTATATACAGGGTGTACCGGTACTGAGTAGATGTGCAGTGGTACGAGGTAATTGAGGTAGCTATGTACATATAGGTAGGGGTAAAGAGACTAGACAACAGGATAGATAATCGACAGTAGCAACAGTATATGTGGTGGGTGTAAAAGTGTGTGTGAGTGTGGTGTCAGTATGCATGCGTGTTATATGTGTGTGGGCATATGTATTGTTTGTTGGGGTGTCAGTGTAAGTATGTGTGAGTGTGTGGGTAGAGTCCAGTGTGTGTGCATAGAGTTAGTGCAAACAAGGGTCAATGTAGGTAGCTATTTATTAGTCTTGTTTAGCAGACTTGGGGGTAGAAGCTGTTCAGGGTCCTGTTGGTTCCAGACTTGGTGCACTGGTACCGCTTGCCGTGTGGTAGCAGAGCGGACAGACTATGGCTTGGGTGTTCTCTGACACCGCCTGCATTGAGGAACTGGATCAAATAACATTTTATTGGTCACATGCTTTGTAAACAACAGGTGTAGACTAACAGTGAAATGCTGTCGGCCTTGCATTAAAGAACATAGTTGATAACTAATAATGTAGGCACGCTGTGTCCATAATAAGTGTATGGGTTGTAGGTTGGGAGCTTTTGTGAAGGAGCACAGTTAGAAAGATATGGCATATAGAAGCAAACCGGATGGACATCATGAAAATGATCGGAGAGGTTGAGAGTAGAAGAAGTTCAGGAGAAAGAACAAACAAAATGTAATTACTGTAAAATTGACTGTGTCCATAAAATGTAGATAGTGGGTATGGGCTGGAAGTAGAGGCCTAGGCGTTGTTGTTCACTAGTTTACTCCAAGTGGGGAAAGGGTGGCGGGGTTGGAAAGTAATAAAGGGAAATATATTTTTTATATATATATTTAAAAAAAGGATATGTACAGTGGGGGGAAAAAGTATTTAGTCAGCCACCAATTGTGCAAGTTCTCCCACTTAAAAAGATGAGAGAGGCCTGTAATTTTCATCATAGGTACACGTCAACTATGACAGACAAATCGAGAAAAAAATATCCTGAAAATCACATTGTAGGATTTTTAATGAATTTATTTGCAAATTATGGTGGAAAATAAGTATTTGGTCACCTACAAACAAGCAAGATTTCTGGCTCTCACAGACCTGTAACTTCTTCTTTAAGAGGCTCCTCTGTCCTCCACTCGTTACCTGTATTAATGGCACCTGTTTGAACTTGTTATCAGTATAAAAGACACCTGTCCGTTCTTGTGATCATTTTGACCCCACGGGGTGAGATCTTGCGTGGAGCCCCAGATCGAAGGAGATTATCAGTGGTCTTGTATGTCTTCCATTTCCTAATAATTGCTCCCACAGTTGATTTCTTCAAACCAAGCTGCTTACCTATTGCAGATTCAGTCTTCCCAGCCTGGTGCAGGTCTACAATTTTGTTTCTGGTGTCCTTTGACAGCTCTTTGGTCTTGGCCATAGTGGAGTTTGGAGTGTGACTGTTTGAGGTTGTGGACAGGTGTCTTTTATACTGATAACAAGTTCAAACAGGTGCCATTAATACAGGTAACGAGTGGAGGACAGAGGAGCCTCTTAAAGAAGAAGTTACAGGTCTGTGAGAGCCAGAAATCTTGCTTGTAGAGGTCTGTAATTTTTATCGTAGGTACACTTCAACTGTGAGAGACGGAATCTAAAACAAAAATCCAGAAAATCAATTGCAATTGGGTTCAGGTCTGGAGACTGGCTAGGCCACTCCAGGACCTTGAGATGCTTCTTACGGAGCCACTCCATAGTTGCCCTGGCTGTGTGTTTCGGGTCGTTGTCATGCTGGAAGACCCAGCCACGACCCGTCTTCAATGCTCTTACTGAGGGAAGGAGGTTGTTGGCCAAGATCTCGCGATACATGGCCCCATCCATCCTCCCCTCAATACGGTGCAGTCGTCCTGTCCCCTTTGCAGAAAAGCATCCCCAAAGAATGATGTTTCCACCTCCATGCTTCACGGTTGGGATGGTGTTCTTGGGGTTGTACTCATCCTTCTTCTTCCTCCAAACACGGCGAGTGGAGTTTAGACCAAAAAGCTCTATTTTTGTCTCATCAGACCACATGACCTTCTCCAATTCCTCCTCTGGATCATCATTGGCAAACTTCAGACGGGCCTGGACATGCGCTGGCTTGAGCAGGGGGACCTTGCATTCGCTGCAGGATTTTAATCCATGACGGCATAGTGTGTTACTAATGGTTTTCTTTGAGACTGTGGTCCCAGCTCTCTTCAGGTCATTGACCAGGTCCTGCCGTGTAGTTCTGGGCTGATCCCTCACCTTCCTCATGATCATTGATGCCCCACGAGGTGAGATCTTGCATGGAGCCCCAGATCGAGAGTGATTGACCGTCATCTTGAACTTCTTCCATTTTCTAATAATTGCGTTCAGTTATTGCCTTCTCACCAAGCTGCTTGCCTATTGTCCTGTAGCCCATCCCAGCCTTGTGCAGGTCTACAATTGTATCACTGATGTCCTTACACAGCTCTCTGGTCTTGGCCATTGTGGAGAGGTTGGAGTCTGTTTGATTGAGTGTGTGGACAGGTGTCTTTTATTTACATTTACATTTACGTCATTTAGCAGACGCTCTTATCCAGAGCGACTTACAGTTAGTGCATAGATTATTTATTTTTTTCATACCCCCCGTGGGAATCGAACCCACAACCCTGGCGTTGCAAACGCCATGCTCTACGAACTGAGCTACATCCCCTGCCGGCCATTCCCTCCCCTAGACGACGCTGGGCCATTTGTGCGCCGCCCCATGGGTCTCCCGGTCACGGCCGGCTACGACAGAGCCTGGATTCGAACCAGGATCTCTAGTGGCACAGCTAGCACTGCGATGCAGTGCCTTAGACCACTGCGCCACTCGGGAGTAGTAACGAGTTCAAACAGGTGCAGTTAATACAGGTAATGAGTGGAGAACAGGAGGGCTTCTTAAAGAAAAACTAACAGGTCTGTGAGAGCCAGAATTCTTACTGGTTGGTAGATGATCAAATACTTATGTCATGCAATAAAATGCAAATTAGTTACTTACAAATCATACAGTGTGATTTTTCTGGATTTTTGTTTTAGATTCCGTCTCTCACAGTTGAAGTGTACCTAGGATAAAAATGACAGACCTCTACATGCTTTGTAAGTAGGAAAACCTGCAAAATCGGCAGTATATCAAATACTTGTTCTCCCCACTGTATATATCTATATATGTATATATATATATATGTATATGTATATATATATATATATATATATATATGTATATATATATATATGTATATGTATATATATATATATATATATATATATATATATATATATATATATATATATATATATATATATATATATATATATATATATATATAACATGGGGGATTGGAAGTGATGCAGACAATTACATTGGTGGAAGTTACAATCTATCTGCAATATTAAGCTGATCTACCCCCAAGAAAAAAAAAACAGTGAAATGCTTACTTACGTGTCCTTTTCCAACTATGCAGAGTTAAAGATAAAAACTAGAAATAGAAAATGGGGCCGTACTCATCACCCTCGGTAGCACCTTGCAGTCGGGTGCCTTGCAGTTGCCATACTAAGACGTGATGCAGCCAGTCAAGATGCTTTCAATGCTGCAGCTGTATAACTTTTTGAGGATCTAAGGGCACCCCCTGGTTTACCGCACTTTTGAACTTGAGATGGGTTAAATTCATGCCTATAACCTCTCACATGTAGCCTAATATAAAATGTACTTGTGAAGAAGTATTTAGTGCAGTGCAATGATAAACAAAATATTAATTTTGTCTGAGGAACAGGAATGGAGAAATATGATTTATTTATTTCAGCATCTCTTGAGCGAATGCGAGTGGGCGGGTATAGGCCGTGTGTAAATGTGCAATCTTTTGCGATTGACACTTTCATGAATGCAGACAGTATTTAAAACATCATTTTCACAGCCTTAATTTCAACCTGTCCGTTGAACATTTTGCACGGGAAGAATCATTACCTTGTGTTAGAGCTTTTCTCCCTGATCTCTAAACATCTTGGTCTGTGAGAGAATCAGAAATGGACCGACGTCAACTAGATTATTAATGCATTCATTCTATCAATTTATGACATTTATTCTTGTGAGTACCGATTTTATTAAGTCTTCTAGGCCAACAAGTTATGACAGAAGAGAAGCTGCATGTATCTAATTATATACAAGTTGACTAACAAATAGCCATCTAAATGTCGGAAATTATAAGCGGAAACATATCATCTAAATTAGGCTTTAACAAAATATCCAACATCCGCCATCCCATGTCATTTATAGCAGTGTTATCAACAAGGATCAAATGTGTCTTGAAAAAGGTTGGTCCAAAATCTAAATGAGTAAATGTTTTGTATGAAAGCTATTTTCTTCACCCTGAACTTTTAACCTCTAACCTGTTCCCATCTCCCAGCTGATGATGAGCAGAGTGACTGGTTCTATGAGGGGGAACCGGGGGGAGCATGTGGAGTGGCGGGGGTGATTCCCTGGTGGGAGAGGGAGGCAGGGGAAGAACTGGACCTGGCTGACCCGGTCTTCAACAGCATCCTCACCGGATCCTTCCCCATCATGAGCCCCGGTGCACAGAGAGGTAGCTGGACCCAGACCTGTCTGTTTGTTTGTATCTCTGAGTCCAGTACCATTTTGATTACTAGTCCCCACTTGTCTGTGTTTTTCTTTGCATGATAGTAGAACGAGTTATCCAAAGTCTATTTGTGATCTGTCATATGGCCAGTAGGGGGCAGCTACTGCAAAGGGTTTGTCTTGTAGCCTCTACAGCTGCAATAGTGTTTCTCCTATTCCAGTCTATGATGTGTGCACTCTGCTGCCTCTCCTGTGGCAGGGTTCCAGGCCAGGCTGAGCTGGCTGCATGGTGGGCCCCAGGGCCAGGCTTCTCAGTGCAGCCCAGGACAGGCCTTCAACGAGCGGCTGGGACGACACCACCAGGACCCCCCCCACTCACACGGCCACTCACACGAGTCAGTCTACCTTACAACCCTCACACTCACCTGACTTGTAGAATACTTGTCTATACTTTGTAAATTTTTTTCCTTATTCTGTATTTTTCTCTATTTGACTTGACTGTGTGGAAATAAACTAAACAAACCTATTTGTTCTCCACAGCCCATGGTTTAGTCCGGGGTCTAGACGAGAACACGGACAAGTAAGACATGTCTCTGTTACTTCACCACCTAGCTGCACTTTCAAAACAGTACCGACTGTTATACATTTTGTGGCTGATAATGCCCAGATACAGGTATTTTACATTTGCTAATAGCTTTTAGTTTATTCTCTGTCTCTTTCTCTCTCTCTCTAGATGCACTGGGACCCACGGACAGACAGAGGGCATCGGAGGAGCTGCTCAGTGAAAACAGCCAGCAGGTATATTAGGAATGATCCAATCAACACATTATCTCACAAGAAATTATACAGTTGTTCCATCCACAACAGCACATTGTTTCTAGGATGTTGCCAACACATGGGTGCTAATGAATTATTCTTATTTCCTGGTTGTGGTTCTACAGACAGACGAGTGGTCACCTGGGGTCTCTGTGTACGGGGGAGGTCAAGAGGAGACGTAAAGCAGCACCCCTTGGCTTACCTCCACCCACAGGTAAAGTCTTTCTGACACACACTACTGCACTCACTTACTCCCCGACCCCCAAGCCCAACCCCCCACCCGTCCATCCCCGGTCGTTAACCAGCTTTAGCTCTTTTCCCCCTCACCCTTCCTCCCTAACCTGGGTTGGACAGCAGTCAGCTGGCAGGCTCTGCAGTCACAGAGAGAAACCAGATTAACCCTAAACCAATCACGGCTGTGTATCGCAGAACCCTCCTGCTCCCCTTCCACCCTTCACCTCTCTCTACCTCTGTTAGTGTGTTTTAGGGGAGTGGAAGATGTTAATACCAGGAAGGGGAACGAGACTGGGGATATAAAGAGTTAGTACGTCTTGGTCTGGTGCCCATCTTGGTTCCAGGAAGAGGATATAAAGGAGTGTATACCAATGGCTACAACAAGTGCAACAGGAGTCTGCTCTACTGCCCACACCTCTCATTGTTACAGTGCCTTCAGAAAGTGTTCGTACCGCTTGACTTATTCCACATTTTGTTGTGTTACAGACGGAATTCAAAATGGATTACATAGATTTTTTTCCTCACCAATCTACACACAATACCCCATAATGACAAAGTGAAAACATGTTTTTAGAAATTGTTGCTAATTTATTGAAAATGAAATACAGAAATCTCATTTATATAAGTATTCACACCCATGAGTCGATACTTTGTAGAAGCACCTTTGGCGGTGATTACAGCTTTGAGTCATCTTGGGTATGTCTGTATCAGCTTTTCACATCTGGATTTGGATTTTCTCCCATTCTTCCTTACAGATTTTCTCAAGCTCTGTTAAGTTAGATGGGGAGCGGCGGTGAACAGTAATCTTTTAGTCTTTCCACATAGTTTCAATGGGATTCAACTCTGGGCTTTGGCTGGGCCACTCAAGGACTTTCACATTCTTGTTCTGAAGCCATTCCAGCGTTGCTTTGACTGTATGCTTGGGGTCATGGTCATGTTGGAACGTAAATCTTCGCCCTAGTCTAAGGTCGTTTGCACTCTGTATTTGGCTCCATTCATTGTTCCCTCTATCCTTACCAGTCTCCCAGTCCCTGGAGCTGAAAAGTATCCCCATAGCATGATGCTGCCACCACCATGCTTCACGGTAAGGATGGCGTTAGACAGGTGATGAGCTGCCCTGGATTTCTCCAGACATAGCGCTTTGCATTCAGGACAAATAATCAAATTTGTCTCCTCAGACTACAGAATATTTTGCCTTATGATCTCAGTCTTTCATGTGCCTTTTTGCAAACTCCAGGCGTGCTGTCATGTGCCTTTTTCGCAGGCGTGGCTTCTGTCTGGCCACTCTCCCATAAAGCCCAGATTGGTGAAGTGCTATAGAGACTGTTGTCCTTCTGGTAGGTTCTCCCATCTCAGCTAAGGAACTCTGTAGTTCTGGTGGTCGTTGGGTTCTTGGTCACCTTCCTGACCAAGGTCCTTGTTGCCTGATTGCTCAGTTTGGTCGGACGGCCAGCTCTGGGTAGTTCCATATTTTTTCAATGATGGAGACTTTCAACACTCTAGAAATGATTGTATACCCTTCCCCAGATATATGCCTCATCACAATTCTATCTTGGAGATCTACGGACAGTTCCTTGGACATCATGTTATAGTTTCTGCTCTGACATGCACTACTTCTTCTATGGTATATTGGTGATCACACAATTTAATGTGCATCCTGCCACCTACTATGCGGGATGGAAACAGGATTCCCCCCCAAAAAACGGAACTACCAAAAAATAATAAACAATTAATCAAAATAAGACCTCTCCTGGTCACTCTGACAGACTCCACTTTTCCAAGCACATACTTCACCATTTAACACCTCAAACAGGTTTCCCACATACTCATCCTTACTCAACAAACGCATCCCAACAAGAAGCGATTCATTATCATTTACACACATATCCTCTACTCCAATTTTAGACAATTTCCTTTTTGTTCCAGTTTTCGATACTACTGTTGTCCATTCAGAACATTCGTCTTCACCAAATGTAGCTGGCTCATTGGGTTAGAGGTAGAGTTCAGGGGTTAAATAATGTAGCTTTGTCAGCCCATTGAGCCTAATCAATAAGCCTTCATCAAGATAATCTGCTCTACTCTTAACTCGCTCTTCTGGTCTCCTTCCTTCTCTCTCTTTCCCTTTCCTTCTCCTCTTATGTCTCCCTCTCCCCCTCTAACATACTTTAGCATCCCGCCAATATTTTTCCGCCAAAGCCTAATTGTTTATTTCCACAAACCGATCTAGTCATGATTGCGGTAAAGTTCTGCCTATGGCTTAGTATGAAATGTAGCTGTAATGCTGAGGTGGCATTGACACGCACTACGCTCTTAAGCTCTTGATGGTTGCTAGGCAGCACAAGTTACTACTAGGCTGTTGCCATCCTCCTGGCAGTTCTAAACTTTGCGAGGCATGTCACTTCACCCATCTCTTCGCATAGCCCTTCACACTGTTTTCTTAACCACAACTAGATGGATCCATAAAGAATTACTGTGGGAATTAATATCACTAACTGATTAAAATATTGGAATAAAGTAGGCTAATGCAATTAAAGGCAGAAAATTGTTGCTTACTGAAACTCCCAAAGACATCCTATTGTTATAATAGCCTACATTTGAAGCAATAGCCTACCCTCGTTTTGTCAACTATTTCAGCACCGTTTCACGCTGCTTTGAGACAAGCGTCTCTTGATAAATCAATCAATGTCCAATTTTTATTTTCACTGAATCTCCGTTTGGATATTGGTTAGGCTACAATTAGGCTGTGGAAGTGTTAGCTATGTTGAGCTGAGTGCTGCTCATGGTCATCTTGTCTAGTTGGCTCATTTATTAGCACTGATCAGAACATTTTGCCAGCATGTTATGTAGTTTAACAAGTGGATTATTTTGCTCTTCGCTACTCCCGACCAAAAGCCGGTGACTTGTTTTAATCGATCAATGTGATTTTGTTTCAGTGAATCTCCGTCTGTATATTTGGTTTATTCTCTGACTGGGCAAATAAGTGGAGGTGGCAGCTCATCTATCACTGATCAGAAAACATTTAGCATGCAATAATGTAGCCTAAATCAAGTGTAGTTCCTATTATTTTGCTTAATTGCATATAGACAACTCCAAAAGCCTATGGAGGTTGTGAAATATGTACACCAGACTCGCATGCTTTTAAAAATATAGATTGCTATTATTTTCTATCGGTATCATGTTGAATATACTATCAATGTAAGACCCTTTTTTTTTTTTTTTTTTACCTTTATTTAACTAGGCAAGTCAGTTAAGAACAAATTCTTATTTACAATGACGGCCTACACCGGCCAAACCCGGACGACGCTGGGCCAATTGTGCGCCGCCCTATGGGACTTCCAATCACGGCCGGTTGTTATACAGCCTGGAATCGAACCAGGGTCTGTAGTGACGCTTCAAGTACTGAGATGCAGTGCCTTAGACCGCTGCACCACTCGGGAGCCCACCTACGCCTGTTCCCTAACAAAGCGGAGTGAGGTTAGGAAAGAGATGAAACGTGGATTTTAAAAAAGCATGGGCTTGGGCTCGGTTTCAAAATATTATGTTTTTTATGACCGCGCTTTCCCGCGTTCCCATGGCGCAAGTTGTGTGGGCCAAATATTATTTGTATTTTATTGTTATATTCTTAGCCTACTATCAAATATAGCCTGTGTGTGTTGACTGGGATCAGGGTAAGTGTGTCTTGTCTTTTTAAAGAACATAATTACTATTGATTTAATGTGCATGGCTGTCCTATAGGCTTTAGAAAATACATTTTATTAGACATTATGTTTCTTAGGACTTGCCTAAATAAATAAATAAATAATGGATTTCTTTGATGGTGTACAGTGCATTCGGAAAGTATTCAGACCCCTTCCCTTTTTCCACATTTTATTACGTTACAGCCTTATTCTAAAATGGATAAAATAAAATCCTCATCAATCTACACACAATACCCCATAATGACAAAGCGAAAACAGGTTTTTAGAAATGTTTGCACGTTTATTTACATAAGTATTCAGACCCTTTGCTATGAGACTTGAAATTGAGCTCAGGTGCATCCTGTTTCCATTGATCATCCTTGAAATGTTTCAACAACTTGATTGGAGTCCACCTGTGGTAAATTCAATCGATTGGACATGATTTGGAAAGGCACACACCTGTCTATATAAGGTTCCACTATTGACAGTGCATGTCAGAGCAAAAACTCAAGCCATGAGGTCGAAGGAATTGTCCGTAGACCTCTGACACAGGATTGTGTCGAGTCACAGATCTGGGGAAGGGTACCAAAACATTTCTGCAGCATTGAAGGTCCCCAAGAACACAGTGGCCTCCATCATTCTTAAATGGAAGAAGTTTGGAACCACCAATACTCTTTCTAGAGCTGGCCACCCTGCCAAACTGAACAATTGCGGGAGAAGGGCCTTGGTCAGGGAGCTGACCAAGAAACCGATGGTCACTCTTGCAGAGCTCCAGAGTTCCTCTGTGGAGATGGGAGACCCTTCCAGAAGGACAACCATCTCTGCAGCACTCCACCAATCAGGCCTTTGGCCAGACGGAAACCACTCCTCAGTAAAAGGCACATGACAGCCCACTTAGAGTTTGCCAAAAGGCACCTAAAGGACTCTCAGACCATGAGAAACAAGATTCTCTGGTCTGATGAAACCAAGATTGAACTCTTTGGCCTGAATGCCAAGCGTCACGTCTGGAGGAAACCTGGCACCATTCCCTACGGTGAAGCATGGTGGGGGCAGCATCATGCTCTGGGGATGTTTTTCAGAGGCAGGGACTGGGAGACTAGTCAGATCGAGGGAAAGATGAGCGGAGCAAAGTACAGAGAGATCCTTGATGAAAACCTGCTGCAGAGCACTCAGGACCTCAGACTGGGGTGAAGGTTCACCTTCCAAGAGGACAACGACCCTAAGCACACAGCCAAGACAACACAGGAGTGGCTTCGGGACAAGTCTCTGACTGTCCTTGAGTGGCCCAGCCAGAGCCTGGACTTGAATCCGATCTAACATCTCTGGAGAGACCTGAAAATAGCTGTGCAGCGACTCTCCCCATCCAACATGACAGAGCTTGAGAGGATCTGCAGAGAAGAATGGTAGAAACTCCCCAAATACAGGTGTACCAAGCTTGTAGCGTCATACCCAAGAAGACTTGAGGCTGTAATCGCTGCCAAAGGTGGTTTTACAAAGTATTGAGATATTTCTGTATTTCAATTTCAATAAATGTGCAATAATGTATTAAAGCATGTTTTCACTTTGCCATTATGGTGTTTTGTGTGTAGATGGGTGAGAGAAAATGAATTTAACCCATTTTGAATTCAGACTGTAACTCAACAAAATGTGGAATAAGTCACGGGGTATGAACACTTTCTGAAGGCACTGTACTATAAAGTCTTTCTGTAAAGTGTAATACTCTCCACTTACGTCTCCGTCACCCTCTAACATACTCTCTCCTTTTATGTCTCCATCTCATCTTCTCTGTTGTAACTCGGTGTTCCTGTTCTTTTATCGCTCCTCTAGGGGTGGTAGGTGAGAGAGTGGGGCCCATCCCAGAGACCAACATGGGGAACCGGATGATGCAGAGTATGGGCTGGAGCCCTGGCATGGGCCTGGGTCCGGAGGGGAGGGGCATCACTGAGCCTGTTCGGGCCACACAGAGACCCAAAGGAGCGGGCCTGGGTTTCAACTGAGCCCCACGCTTTAGGCCCCAAACTGAACAGGCCAGGCCAGTAGACCTCGGTGGAGATGGACCCAACTGAGAGCAGGGAGGACGGTGGTCAACACTCCCTGGGAAAGAAAGACTGATAGAGCATCAGAGCTGGAAGGAACAAATACAAGTCAGCAAGAAAAATAAATAACTGAAAGGAGGACAAACATCCTATGATAGGGAAAGTCACAACCCTGGTTAGAGTGGAGTGTTAGGGTTCCCACCTCAGATTTGTACTTGAGATGTCCCACATACCAGGGAAAAGAGAAGGAATGAAGAGAAGACAACCAGACATTGTAGTTGGGTTTGATTGTGTGCTACTAGCCAGGCTGTATAGTTGGCATCACTGTGCGTACTACACACTAAAAGGCTCAGTTTCACAAGAATAAAATTTATCTTCAATCAATGGTACATTTTCTATAAGTATGGCAGAGCCAAATGGTTGTCTGAAATTGCACAGGATGACAAAAAATATGGAAGTTATATTTGCGTTGAAATATTTTTGCAACGCCACATTACATTGGCATTATTCCAAGGTAATTGTAATGGTATAACCTATGTAGCTAGTACTTACTGTGGTTAGTACAAAAAGGTAATGGCTGAAGTGGTAGCTAAGTACTGCATAAGGTAAAGTTAATTAAATGTGTCCTACTTGTAGTTACTCTGGTATAGCACTAATGTAATGTAACTGGAAAATGTAAAAAGAAAAACACATGTATTTAAACTATCATATGGTTCCTTTGGAATATTGGTCAGTTATGTTAGAATGTGTAGATGGTATGCCTGAGGGGAGAGTGTGGTGAATGATTCAGGAAATTAATCATGGTATGGTTGTGAAGTAAAATGTTCAAACCAGAATAGTGTCTATTTTATTAAAAAAGAAGCCAAACAAAAGTCAAACCAATCACACTGTACTTGCTTGGTATGCATGTATAGCAATCATCACATGGAAATGTCTCCTCTCCAATAATGATTCCCAGTGGCCGTGGCCGAAAACTGGCTTGCCTACTACTTACTTAAATTGCATAATGTGTACTAATCGTACTAAATCTGGTATTCCATGTCGGGGTCGTGACCCATAGTGGGGTCACGAGGGAATTGCAGTGGAGTCGCCAGATTTATTTTCGGGGGCGGGGGGGACAAAACATATTATTGTATGGGACAGTATACAAACGTTTTTGAGGAGGATAATTTCAAATATACAACTTTATTGAGTAAATGTATTTATTGGTTCTCTTAATTTTGATGAGAAAGATGGAAATGTAATGAATTGTGGTCCCCAGACATTATGGTGAAAAGAATGGTGTCCCTGCTGAAAAAGTTTGAATACCACTTTACTACATAGTATTTAGAACGTACTATTTAAAAAAAAAAAACAAATGCAGTAAGCAACATATCAGCTGTACTAGTCTCATTCTACTGAGAATGTGCCATCTAATGCGCAATTACGTTGATTCCCGCCGTTTGTTCATTTTAGTACAGCACGTCCCCTCAACTGATTATCAGCTGTTGTCAAACACACGTGGGTCTGCAGCAAATTCTACTAGATGAAAAGCCGAAATGAGTATGACATCCTGGCGTTTTAAAGCATACTAAATGTAAAAAAATTCACACACTATAAAACGTTATTTTTTCGCATACCCAAAATGCCTACTATTTTGAACGCAATTACAGGTATTCGTACAAAGCCAATGACATGCTTTATAAAGCGAAGGGCACTTTACTTTACAGTCCTGTAGTTATTTTACAGTCTCTTCCGTTTACCTTGTAAATACCAATTGAAATAGGATTGTAAAATAAAGTGTTACCATTGCCAATGTAATGTGTGAAATAATCCCCCTGTATTATGAGCAGATGTGAGATCAGATTCTCTTACCACGGTCTGATGTTTAACAATTAGGGAAATATTAGCAGAACTGGCCCGAGATCAGCAGAACTGTGCAAAACTGTTTTACATGTCAGTTCAATCAGGAAGGTAGTAAAGGTGTTGGCACTCTGAAACAATAAACACTGTTTAGAAGTAATATTCAAGTTGGTTATTGTTTATATGGTTTACACATCCCTCTCTCAAGCAAAAAGCAACAGAAAAAAAGTCCCTCAGAAAACGTCAAAATACCAGTTTTCCAAAAACACGCTTCATAAATTACACTCACATTGATATCTCTATTGACATCTACACTTGCATCAAACTCACATGCTGACACAGAACCTTACTGAAACGTGATGCCATTGCCTCTCTCTTTCCCTCCCTCTCTCCCCCTCTCTGCAAGGCTGCTATAGCAATCCCTGTATCTATGGGAATGCAGGAGAGCTGTGTCCTCTACTTCCTTTCTATCCTCTCCCGCTATCACACACACACTCAGGACTCCCCTGTGAGTGGGGTAAGTGAACTCGGTGCTGCCTGGTCCAGGTAGAGGAGAGGAGAGAAAGGTCTGTGCTGCTGCATCGCTGAGCCACAGAGAGGAGAGGAAGGAAGTGAGCTGGGTAGAGCTGAGGCATTTGTCCTTGAGACTGACTGACTGACTGCAGCTGGCTGCAGGACTGCAGGAACCAGTGAGTAAGTACTGAGCAGGTTCAGGGGCTGGATGGGGTGTTAGGACATGGGGGGTTGTTGTGGGATATTTAGACTGGGGACATTTAGAGGGTATTTGGATGTGTGTATCTACAGTGGGGTATTTTGACCAAGGCAGTTGGCTAGAGGGCATTTGGGCTCGGATATAAATGTGTGTGTGTGTGTGTGTGTGTTTCCTTTGTCCAGGTGGTAGAGGTCTGTCCTGTACTCCGGTATACCCACCGTACTCAGGTTTTTTAAATCAGCTTTCTGCTCTCCTCTCTCAAAGCAGTGTGCCGCTACCCACATTTAGTTTTGAGAATAGCTATTATAACATTCCTCAGTCTTCCGCCTGCATTCTAAGGTCAAGTTTGTCAGTGATGAGTTGTTCTCTATATCATTTTTCCAATACATTTTAAACATTTTTCCCATCTTGCAAAGTTAACATTTCTTTACAGAGCTTTTCTCTCTCCCTCACTCCATCCCTCTCTCTAGTGTTGACAGATCGATAGTTATACATCTATAATTGGAAGCCATCAGTTATGGCGGTCCTCCAAAGCCAGTCATTATCGTGTGTAATCTTGCAGAAAATTACATTTGGAGTGGTGTTCCTGGCGTAGCTGAGACTCACTGGTCTGTGTTAGCCTGGCTAACTGGCTGCTGCTCAACCTATCCACTTTTATATGAGAGGGGGGGGAGAGAGGGAGGGGGTAGAGGGAGGGGTAGGGGGAGAGAGGGAGGTGGGAGGGAGAGAGGGAGGGGGAGAGGGAGGGGTAGAGGGGGAGGGGTGGGGAGAGAGGGAGGGGTAGAGGGGGAGGGGTGGGTAGAGGGAGGGAGAGGTAGAGGTCATAGAGATGGAGAGGGACAGGTATGTGAGAGGGAGGAGGAGGGACAGGAGAGGTAGAGGGAAAAGAGACAGGAGAGGTAGAGGGAAAAGAGACAGGAGAGGTAGAGGGAAAAGAGACAGATGGAGAGTTATTGGAGAGAGAGGAGGAGGCAGAGAGAGAACAGGGGATAGAGAGAAAGAGAATGAGGGAGAGAAAGTGGAAAAAGGAGTGGGTAGTGGCTAGAGAGAGTGAGAAGAGGGAGAACAGAAGAGAGGTGGAAGGAAGTGGTAGGAAATTGGCACCTATACACCAGTTGTACACCAGCCAGACATTTAGCTTATGCCACCTGTGGAGAGAGAGCTTAACTGTGAGGTGATAGGTCAGGTAATCCAACCTTTCGTGTGTGTGTGTGTGTGTGTGTGTGTGTGTGTGTGTGTGTGCAGTGGAGGGTAAACACAAGTAAACAGAGTTTATCCACCTTGTGTCTGTGTCTGTCTGTCTGCCTGCCTGCCTGCCTGCCTGTGTGTGTGAGATGGAAGAAAGGTTCCTGTCGTCAGCAGGTGCCTGAATCTGAGACATCATGCTGAGAGGGTCAGGTGCTGACTAAAAGTATTCCACCTGTGTAAGCACTGCCCTGGCAGCTTCACACCTGAGATGGGCCCTGTGATAGGCCTGGGAACCAAGTGTGTACACCAGAGAAGAGGATGAGAGAAGGAAGAAAACAGAGATAAGGTGTGGGAACCTTCTCCCTCTCTCTTTTTTCTCTATATCTCTGTTTATAATTTTTGAGTAGAGAGGCGAGCAGAACAAGACAGAGAGATACAAAGAAAAAGGGAAGAATCAGGAAGGAGAGAGAGACATAAAGGAGTGAGAGAAAGGCAGACAGAGATAAAGAGCGAGAAGTGAACTTGTCAATCCTGTGCTCCTTGCTAAGAGGACATTGTTTCTGTAATCCTCTCGAGTGGTTAAGGTCTGGTTACATAACCACCTGAAAATACAGGTGGGTGGCTTACCTGCTAAGCACACTGATAGAGGGAAAGAGAGAGGGAAAGAAGAGGGGATGGGGAGAGGTAGGGAGGGAGAGAGAAGGAAGGAGAGGGAGGGAGAGAGAAGGAAGGGGGAGGGAGAGAGAGAAGGAGAGGGAGGGAGAGAGAGAAAGAGGGGGAGGGAGAGAGCGGGGTGAAAGCTTCAGATCAGTGATTACTCCAATGAAAGGAGCAACCAAGTATTTAAGATGGCTTTTTAGGACTCCACTAGGGGGCATTCAAGCCAAAAATACACAGAACAAACATTCTAACACAACATGCAACAATTTCAAAGATTTTACTGAGTTACAGTTCATATAACGAAATCAGTCAATTGAAATAAATAAACAAGGCCCTAATCTATGGATTCCACATGACTGGGAATACATAAATGCATCCGGTTGATCTAAGATACCTTCAAAAAAAGGTAGGGGCATGGATCATAAAACCAGTCAGTATCTGGTGTGACCACAATTTGCCTCATGCAGCGCGACACATCTCCTTCGCATAGAGTTGATCAGGCTGTTGATTGTGGAATGTTGTCCCACTCCTCTTCAATGGCTGTGCGAAATTGCTGGATATTGGCGGGAACTAGAACACGCTGTTGTACACGTCAATCCAGAGCATCCCCAACATGCTCAATGGGTGACATGTCTGGTGAGTATGCAGGCCATGGAAGAATTGGGACCTTTTCAGCTTCCAGGAATTGTGTACAGATCCTTGCGACATGGGGCCGTGCATTATCATGCTGAAACATGAGGTGATGGCGGTGGATGAGTGGCACGACAATGGGCCTCAGGATCTCGTCACATTCAAATTTCCATCGATAAAAGGCAATTGTGTTTGTTGTCTGTAGCTTATGCCTGCCCATACCATTCCTGCAGTCAGCATGCCAATTGCACGCTCCCTCAAAACTTGAGACATCTGTGGCATTGTGTTGTGTGCCAAAACTGCACATTTTAGTGGCCTTTTATTGTCCCCAGCACAAGGTGCACGTGTGTAATGAGCATGCAGTTTAATCCGTTTATTGATATGCCACACCTGTCAGGTGGATGGATTATCTTGGCAAAGGAGAAATGCTCACTAAAAGGGATGTAAAGACATTTGTGCACAACATCTGAGAGAAATAAGCTTTTTGTGCGTATGGATTATTATATATTTTAGCTCATGAAACATTGGACCAACACTTTACATGTTGCGTTTATATTTTTGTTCAGTATATTTAGGGACAGCTGCAATAGTCTGGCAATGGTCCAGCAACCACCCAACAGTGTTTTTTCCTTCCTTCTGTATTCCAAACGAGACAATACAGGATCATGTGAGCAGTGGAAACCATTTAAAACCATTGAATAGTTGGTTGACCCAGTACACTAAGTGGAGGTTCTATGGTCAGGTTCTACTACTGTTTCCCACACAGGGAGGGATCAGCCACCGGCAGCAAGGCTCTGATAGCGGATACATCCTGTTTCCTGATCAATATTCAATGTGTGACTGATCAATATTTGGAGCAATCTGCTCATCCAGACACTCATCTATCAACCTATCAGTCTATGTATCCAAAGACACATCCATATAGTTTCTCCCTCCAGCTCTCTTCTCCTACTCTTCCTCCCTTCCTCCACACCTCCTCCCCCTATCTATCTCACTGACTCTCTCTTCCTCGTTCTCTCCCTCCATCTCGACATCTTTAAACAACTTAAGTGTCAGATGGTATGTACTATATATGTGCACTGAGAATAGTGTTTCTGTAATTGATGGATTGCACTGAATTATACGATAGCTATGTTGATTATGCTCAGTCTGTCTCGCAGTGATGATGTCAGGAGA